GGACACCCACGGCGCGGACTGCGCGAGCGGGCGCGGCGGGTCCGCGCCGCCGCCGCGCACCGACAGCACGGCGTACCCGTTGATCATCTGCGGCGCGCTGATGGCGTTGAAGCGGATTTTAAAGTCGCCCGCGCGCGCCGGCCGCACGAGCACCGAGTACCGCTCGCCGTTGGAGAGCGGGATTGCCTGCACCCGCTCCGGCGTGATGTAGCTCCCGTCGACGGCGTACACCCACATGTCGTGCTCGTCAATGGACAGCGCGCCCGTGGCAAAGTTGGTGGACCCGACAATGTTGAGCGACACCCAGTCGTGCTGGGCGACGGCAATGGTCTCGACGGGGTCGGCTGTGGCGGCGCAGCCGTGGAAGATGTCGTGCGGGATGGCGCTCTCGTTGAGCCGCGTCACGTCGCCGCCAAACGCGGCCATGACTTTCGGGGGCAGACAGCTGTTGTGGTGCGGCACCGTTAGCCATACCAGGGCTTTTTGCCCCCTTCAGATTTTGACAACGGCGGGGGGAGCGTTACCTACCCTCTGTCCGTCAGCACCGAGCCCGGCACAAAGGCGAGGTCGTCCTTTTGTATGGGCGTCAGGTTCGCCTGCATGTCGGCGGGCGCGAAGCACTGCACGCGGCCCTTTCCGTTGAAAAGGATGCGGTCGTAGCAGGTAATCTCAATGCCGGATGCCAGCGTGACTTGCCACTTTTCCTCGGAGGTGATGTGCATCAAGTCAAACACGGTGAGGGCGCGGGAGGCTTTTTCGGCCGCCACCATGGCGCGCACGTCGGCGGCGTCGGCCGAGATGAGGTGGAACGGGCGGTCGGCGGTCGGCCGGGCGTGGATGAAGAGCGGCCCGTACAGGCCGTCCTCGATCTGGTCGCGCGCGTGCGCGTGGTACCAGTAGCTGCCGTGCTGCGTGGCCGTGAAGCGGTGGACAAAGGCTCCGCCGGGCGGGACGAGCCGCTGCGTGAGGCCGGGCACGCCGTCGGACCACGGGGTGTCTTTCATTTCCAAGCCTAGAGAACGTGCTATTAGCCATGGAGATTTTCTTTGAGTGAGGGGGGGGGGGGCGGGAGTGGTCCCGGCGCGCGCCGCCGCCCCGTACCGTGAAAGTGGACGCTGGTCTTAAAGGGCGATTTGTTGACGACGTGCACGGCCACGGCGTCGTCCTGGTTGAACTGCAGCTCCGGGCCGGGCGTCTGGCCGTTGACGAGCAGCATCTTGCGCGCGATGCCCAGCGGCGCGTACCGCTCCCACGTAATCTCGAGGGTGAAGTTCTTGGCGGGCGCGGCAGGTACGCACGCCGGGGCGCTGGCGTTGAGGGCTGCGCCCTGAACTATCGCCAAGGAGGCGAGGAGGAGCCATGATACCTTCTTGAGCATGATGAGGGAGGGGGTGGGGGGTTGTGTCGCGGAACAGTGGACGTCTGACCTGGTGCTGCTACTTGTTCGATGTGATTATGCAGTTCCAAGACACGTTTATGTCTCTTCACAGTCCTTGCGAGCGCGTCCTGCACTCGGGCGAGGATTCGTGGCGGAGTCGCGTATTCGGAGTCTCGCTGTCAGCTCGGTGTTGTTACTGTGAACCCCAAGATTTTTCGAATCGGGGATGAACGCGCATCTTGTATAATTTGTACGAGAAACTGCGCTTTCGCCTCCCTCCCTTGCCTTCGCAGCTCGGCGCACCTCTCTACGGATCCGCCGCCCTGCGTCCCCCTTTCAATTGGATTTGCGCCCTATTAATATCCGCTTTGTGAGATGACGGAGGAGGAGAAGACAAATATGGGTGCGAGGCGTGGCTGGCCAATCCCGTGTAACAGATCTGAGTCGGTTCATTTCCCCGCCAACCTTGTACCATTGCGTTTGAACAAGATCGAACTTGGCTTACCAGTGGGCGCGTCTGGTGTGCTTTGCGGTATTGGTTGCTGGCTGGGGCAATATTATTTTCCGTTTGCAGTATTGCATTGCATTATTTGTCTAGGAATATAAACAGCTGCAGCTTGATCGGGTGTTGTAAAATGACGAGGACGGATGCAGGGCAATATACTCTCCCTTGACTGATTCACGGCAATTCTAGGAGGAATACATTCAGAGTAGTACCCACCTAAGCAGCGATATCATTTTGCCTCTTTCATTTTCAAGGCAATTCTGTTGCGCCACACATATGCGTACAAGGCAGAATGCCAGCCTCTCAATTCTCCATGTCTTGGCAGAATAACCTCCGATACCAGGGTCATGTACAAAAGAATGCCAAGAATGCCAATTCGAGTTCCAATTCCAATTGAGATGCCGGGCACTGTCGTGAGCCAAGTACAGAGTACCGATTGTCCATAGCCCCCTCATCAGGTTCCTTTCCGCATTTCTGCCGTGGCCGTGGCCCCTTGTACCACACCAACAGCGCGGGAGTGATGCTGAGTTGTGACGACAAGTACACTAGCAATACGGTGGCATTTAATTTTTATTCTCTTAGTGCTAAAATGAACTGTGGCATCCAGCGCCCAACGTCCCTGTAGCGGGTCGATTTGGTGCGTCGGATGTCCAGGCCGATAGTTAATACCGGCTGACCAATTTCTCCACCAAACATCCACGCTTTCCGACAGAGCAGAACAAACGAGCAACAAGTAGCCGGGCGCAAGTGAATCCAGCATTTTCTGCACCTCTTGTATCTTGGTCTCACGAGACAAGGGACCATGGCCGACGCTGCACACGTCATTGCCCCAAGCGGCGGGTGCAACGGCTGCGCCAATAACGCCACGACCCTTCAGTGCCCAACGTGCCTGAAGCTCAGCATCAAGGACAGTTATTTCTGCTCCCAGGACTGTTTTAAGAGGAATTGGGTACGTCAGCTTCTGATGTGAACAATGAAAGAATAATCAGAATAAAATCGCTCACGCTATGAGCTTCTTGGCAGAATGAACACAAGGCCCTGCACAAATCGACCGAGGACGCCTCAAAAACGAGTCCGTACCACCTTTTATGCCTTGTATAATTTGTAAACACGCAACTAATGTCATGCATAGCTGGGGCCCTGCATAACCCATTTCCTGATTTCCAGTATACAGGATCGGTACGGCCTGTCTATCCGCTCTCGGCGAGACGCACCGTCCCCAAGTCGATTCGCCAGCCAGACTACGCCGACACTGGCGTGCCCACCAGTGAGCGCATGCTCAACCGAGCCAAGGTAGACATCCTGGACAAAACTGCACAGCAGGCGATGCGCAAAGTTTGCCGGCTATCTCGAGAGGTTCTGGATATTGTTGCTGCAGAGGTCAAGCCGGGCGTCACGACAGACTACTTGGACCAGGTCTGCCACAAGGCCTGCCTGGAGAGGAATGTGAGATTGTCAAAAACACATGATGCATGACGTATTTCTGACTGCTGCCCAGTCGTATCCCTCGCCGCTCAACTACAGAAACTTTCCCAAGTCGCTTTGCACTTCGCCCAACGAGATTGTCTGCCACGGCATCCCCGACCAGAGGGTCCTGCTCGACGGCGACATTCTCAACCTCGACGTTTCCATCTACCACGAAGGCTACCATGCAGATCTAAACGAGACATATTATGTCGGCGCCAAAGCCAAAGCCGATCCAGACAATATCCGTCTCATCGAGACGACGCGCGAGTGCCTCGACGCCGCCATCAGCATTGTCAAACCAGGCACGCCCATCCGAGAATTCGGCGAGGTGATTGAGAAAATGGCCAATGAGCGAGGATGCAGCGTCGTCCCTACCTGGGGCGGCCACGGCATCAACACCAATTTTCACCCGCCCCCGTGGATCCCTCACTACGCCAAGAACAAGGCCGTCGGCGTGTGCAAAGCCGGCATGGCGTTTACTATTGAGCCGATCCTAGCGCTGGGAAAATCGAAAGAAATGTACTGGCCGGATAAGTGGACGAACGCGACCGTGGACGGCAAGAGAACTGCCCAATTTGGTAAGAATGGTACCCAGAGCCAGCGGCATATAGGTTCTAATTCGCGCAGAGCATACTCTACTGGTAACGGATTACGGCGTCGAGGTATTGACAGCTCGAAACGAACAGTCGCCTGGCGGTCCGATACCCATGCCAATCGCGGCCACTACGCGCTAGGCAAAAATGAACAGATGAACTTGCGCAAGCACGCGCTATAGCATTGACGCGCATACAATTGTTGATAGCTAATACACATAGATGAAATCCTCATTCTTCAAGTCGGTAACATCCTCGAAGGCGTGCTCGCCTATATTATCCTCGGTCTGGTTGAGCACCTCGTCCGGGTCGTTATTCTTGTCATGGCTCATCATACTCTTGTCCGTGATGTGCGCAGACTTGTTCAGAGCCACTCTCCGCTTCGCCTGGCGCATGTTGAGGATGCGGAGGAGAAGCGTGCCGGCGACGATGAGCACCGCCAAGACGATGAAGAGCGCCAGATTGACGCGCAAGCCTCTGCTATAGCGCGGCTTCTCGCTCGGCTTGAACAAGAGGGGGCCGATGATGTTTCCGACGCTCGCACCGATGAAGAGCATGGCCGTGGTCACCTTGCGTTTGGTGTCGCCGGCCGTGTTCTGCCCGGACCACGAGTAGATGAGCGGCGAGATGCCGGGATACACGGAGATGATGTAGTAGCCGACGAGCAAGACGGCGCGGTTGCTCGCGGCGCGGCCGACGATGAGAAGAATGACGCAACCGGCGATGGGTGGGAGGCAGAGGAGGAGCAGCACAACGGACTTGACGCCGAGGCGATTGGAGAGCCAGGCGCCGCCAAGAGTCGAAATCATTTGCACCGCGCCAAAGGGAATGTTGAAAAGAATCGTGGTGAATTTGTCGAAGCCAAACGACTCAATGATGAGGGGGCCAAAAGTCGAAATGCCACCGCTTGGGATCCTAGTGCATGTGAGAAACTGTGTTTGCAGGAGGTGGGCGTGACTTACGAGATGACAAGCATCAAGGAGAACCATAGATATGTCTTCAAATCCATGAAAGCCTCCAGTACATGGTCCCACTTCCAGACACCAGAGCCAATGCCCATCTGGTTCATCCGAAGCCGTTCAATAGCGATCAGCTTGTCCTCGTATTTGAGAAACTTTGCCGTCATGGGAGAATCAGGCATAAAGAAGATCATGACGACGGAAAAGGCCACTGTGATGCACCCGCAGAAAAGAAAGATGATTTGGTACGAGTGGAGGTGCGAATTAATGTGGCCGAGTCCATAAGCCAACAGACTGCCGAGCTGTTTCCCGGTCAGTATCAAGGCCGGACAGGGCGCAGTCATCTGCAATAAATCTCACCATATTGACAATACCGAGCATGGCATACCACGCCGCGTTGCGTGTCGTCTGCTCGCGACGGCGATACCACATCTGCACGACGGCGATGAACGTCGGCGCTTTGCATCCCATTAGCCTCTTGTGCATTATCCCGAGAAAAAGCAGGAACCATTCCGCGCTGGTTCCCCCCTTCCAACTTACCAACCGACGCCTCAAAGGCACCGAGCAGCAGGCGCGCCGCCATCAACCCGCCAAAGCTGTGCGCGGCCGTCATGCCGCACAGCACGGCGCCCCAGCAAAACACCATGACGGAGATGAACCGGCCCAGCGGGAACCGGACGAGGCTGTACGCCACGACGGGCTGGAACACGAGCTGCGCGACGTACACGACGGACCCGAGCCACGAGAACTCGTCCCCCTGCAGGCCCGTGTCCGCGAGCAGCCCAAACACGGACGCGTACGACAGCGTCGTCTTGTCGAGCGACTGCAGGCAGTACACGAACAGCAGGATCGGCAGCAGCCGCAGGTCAATCCGCCGCAGCACCCGCCGGTCGTCCGCCGGCGTCACCAGCACCTGGTGGCCGGCCTGCTGCAGGAAGAGCGCGGCCTTGTCCTGCCCGTGGGGGACCGACTTGGGCGCGTCGACGTCGCTGGCGCCCTCGAGGTGCGCGACATCGGCGGTGATTTCCTTGCCCTGTGCCTGCATGTTGATGTGTGATTTTTTGGAGCAAAATAAAAATAAAACTGTGTATATGGGTTGAGCGGTCCTAGTAGGAGTCCCGACACGGAATGAACTGGGTTACCAAGATGCATCGGGGTCTAATGGTAAGTTATATACAAAAAAGAAAGTCGAAGTCGTCGCTTCCAACGTCACCCTCTCCGGCTTTTGAGCGCCAAACCAATCGGCGCTTCTTCAATCTGGGGTAAAACGTTCCCCACGGGTAAGAAAGAGGGAAAAAGCTGGGGCCGGCAATTGAGTGGCGTCGGTCTTCGGGACTTTTCTCCGGTCGGCGTTCGGGTCATTTCTCCGCAGCGCCTAGTACCACGTAACCTCGTGGGGGTCTTGGATGGCGCTCATTTGCTCCATGTGTAAGCTTCCCGTGCTGGTACCCCAGTGCGCGGGGTCTACGGGATCTAGTTGCAGTCGCCGTGGTAGCTTCATGGTGTGTTGCCAGTGGACCTCGACAGCAACGCTCATTATTTAGCTCGAGGTATAAAGCCGGTGAGCCGCTCTTATGTGCGCATCCCTAGAAATTATCCTAAATTCATTTCATCTACAAAAACACAATGCCGCAGCAACAAGAGCGAGTCTTGTCCGGATGGGCCGCAGCACCAGCTAATACGCCCGGTGCCCAAGAGCCAAGAGTGCTTCTGTCCAGCGGCCGAGATGCTGATGATGCCTTTGAGTTCTCATTCGAAACCCTACGAGCCAATGTGTTCCGAACACGGTTCACGTCCCCGTCGCATCCTCTGCCCCCGCACCCCAGCGCTCCGCCGACGAAGGCCGACCTGGACGGGGTGCCGGTGTCTGTCTCGTCGCCCTCTGCGACGACGAAGCAAATCGAGATTGGTCATGTCCTCGTCAAGCTGGACTGGACGGAATCGTCCCCGCTTCTCTCTGTCGCGTACGCCGAGAGCAAAGACGACACGATTCTGCAGGATCTGCCGTTCCGCGGCTACGTCGTCGACGGGCCTGGAGTCGCGCACTACACGCGCTACAACCGCGGCACTCTGCACGTCGGCCTGGGCGAAAAGGCCGCGCCGATGGACCTGTCGGGGCGCAAATTCGAAATGTCCGCCACTGACAGCTTTGGCTATGACATTTACCGCACCGACCCTCTGTACAAGAACATCCCGCTTCTCATCAATGCAACCCCGAGCGGCTGCGTCGCTACCTTTTCCACCAGCCACACCCGGGGATTGTATTCCATCGGCTCCGAAATGGACGGCATGTGGGGGCGCTACAAGGTCTTTCGTCAAGACTATGGCGGTCTGGAAGAGTACACGATTGTCGGGCGGACCCTCAAGGACATCGTGCGCACGTATGCCGAGCTGGTCGGCTTCCCGCTGCTGGTCCCGCGATGGGCGTTTGGCTACCTCTCGGGCGGCATGAAGTACTCCATGCTCGACGACCCGCCCGCGTCCGAGGCGCTGCTCGCGCTGGCGCACAAGATGAAGGCGCACGACATTCCCTGCTCGGCGTACCAAATGTCGTCGGGCTACACCGTCGCTGAGACGCCGCCCAAGACGCGCAATGTCTTTACGTGGAACCGCCACCGTTTCGCCGACCCAGAGGCCTGGATCCGAGAGTACCACAAGCTTGGCATGCGGCTCATTGCCAATGTCAAGCCGTACGTGCTGGCGAATCATCCCGAGTACGAAAAGCTGAAGGCGGCCAACGCCTTTTTCACGGACCCCACCACCAAACAGCCGGCCGTAGCGCGGCTTTGGAGCGCGGGCGGTGGCGAGAGCGGCGAGGGAGGCCACATTGACTTCACGTCCGAAGCAGGCTTTCAATGGTGGTATGACGGCGTCAAGAAGCTGCGCAACGAGGGCATCGATTGCATCTGGAACGACAACAACGAGTATGTCATTACAGATGACAACTGGGCGTGTGCGTTGACCCTGCCGGGGCTGGACGTTCCCACGGCGTGGCAGGGTCGGCCGCAGATTGGCATCTGGGGCAGAAGTCTTCACACGGAGCTGCATGGTCGAGCGTCCCACGATGCGCTTGTCGACGCGGACACTGAACGCCGACCTTTTGTGCTCACGCGCAGTGCCACGGCTGGAACTATGCGATATGCTTGCAGCTCCTGGAGCGGCGACAACACTACCAGCTGGGAGAGTATGAAGGGATCGACGGCGCTCGGCCTTAACGCCGGCGTCTCCCTCCTGCATTGCTACGGCCACGACATTGGCGGCTTCGAGGGCCCGCAGCCGTCCCCCGAGCTGCTCCTGCGCTGGGTGCAGCTAGGCATCTACTCGCCACGGTTCGCCATCAATTGCTTCAAGACGTTCACCGAGAATAACATTGGCGACGTCATCGAGCCGTGGATGCACCCGTCCATTACCCACCTCATCCGCAAGACGATTAAGCGCCGCTACGCCCTGATTCCGTACATTTACTCCTCCATGATTGACAGCCACCGAGAGGCCACGCCGCCGCAGCGCTGGATGGGCTGGGGCTATGAAAGCGACCCCGAGGTATGGAAGAAGCCACTGACGGACGGCGAGACGCAGTACTGGTTTGGCGACTCTATTGTAGTCGGCGGCGTGTTTGAGCCGGGCGCGACGCAGGTCAGGGTGTATTTACCCAAGGGGGGCGACGCGGACGAGGGTTATGTGAATATGAACGCGCCGTATCAGTATTTCGAGGCCGGTCAGTGGGTCACTATCGATGCCGAGTGGCACGGCGCCGGTATTGCTGTCATTGCAAAGGTGGGCGCGGCCATCCCGACTGGTCGCGATGTGCAGGTTCTCTCGCCTGGTGAAAATGAGAATGTGGCTGGCCTACCGCTCGATGACATGCGCGCTGTCGAGATATTCCCGCCGCGGAGGGGCTCTGGCGACAGGTGGTTTGAGACCACGTGGCACGAGGATGACGGCGTTTCGGCGGTAGCGAAAAATATGATTTCTTCCTACACGGTCTCCTATAGCACGACGGATGAAGCTGTGAATTTCAGATTCACAAGAGACGAGCGTTCTGGATTCGAAGCGCCTTGGAAGACGCTGGTTGTCGTTCTGCCTGCGGGCGATGTGCGGGTTGTGCAGAGCAGTGATGGTAGGGCCGTCTCTGACTTGGGTCGCGACGAGCAGGGGCGCAGAAGATTTGAACTGTTGTAGATGGTCGGCATAGAGGGTTCATAGTATGAACGTGTATACAACCATGAAAAAAGTTATCCCCCACTTGTGTCACCGAATTCCGCTGTCGGCGCCATGAAGCCATAAAAGTCCCCGCCACCATTCAGGGCACCGAGCAGAATATCATCTAGCCAGCCTATCCCCGTCGTCGAAGACGAAAATAGCGTCAGACCCGGAAAGTCCCACTCAAAGACAAACTGGTCTGGCACGAACGAATCCAGTTCGCTGCCCGCCGTGCGAGATCCATCCCCGCCGACATCCCGCTCGTCATCGGGCTGCTCATATTGGCCCTGCAGTGCGCGCGAAAACTTGTCCGTGCCAGTCTGTAGCAATTGCAAGTACATGTTGGCCGTACTGTTCGCGATGCCCGCGTCGCGCAGCTCTCTCGCCAGGATCGCCCCGCACGCGACGAGGTCATCGTGAACCGTGCCATGTTCCTCGGGCAAGAGCACACAGAGCTTCAGAAGTAGTAGATAGCAAAAGGCGCACTTGGCCCAGACAAAATCCATGGCGTATTTTAGATTGTGCAGGTATAAGCGCGGCTCGGCAATGATGGTTTGGAGGTGCGCGCGTAGAGAGTCTTTGGCTAGGGACAGGACGGACCGCTGCGCGGGGGACATGAAGTCGACGTTGTCGACACCGGCGGTGCGCACGGCGCGGCAGAGTGCCATGGTGGTCGCCCAGCACTTTTGCACGCGTAGGTTGACCAAGATCCAAGGAGGGACGTCGGGCATGGGCTGCAGGATGCGCGCCCAGTCGCTGTGCCAGAGGTCGATATCAATCGTGGCGTCGCGTACGAGGCTGAGTATATCCTCTTCGTCTTGGTACACTCGCTCCGACAAGGAGGCAAAAATAGTGGCGCGGAGGACGTTGAGTTCTACTTGCGCAAAGAGGAACCGGTCCAACACGGTGGTGTGTGGGTTCTCCAGAAGAACTCTTGCCCGTCGCGGGTCGCCGACGAATGTGCACGTCAGCATGTCCCCGGCGTCGACATGCAGTATGTGACTTAGCACAAGCACATGTAGCCAAGTGCGCGCCTGACGTATCAGCATGGACGTATCCAAGTCCTCCGCCTGGCCGACTTGGCGCGCCATCACCTCGTCGTACGCCTGGGGCAAGCCGGCCTCGATGGCGAGCCGCGTCGCCGTGGCCGTGAGCAGCGAGCGTTCCGCCGAGTAGCACGCCCGCACGAGAAGCGCCTGGATCGTTTCCAGAGAGGGTGTCGGGTCGGGCGCGGACAGGACACTGCCGAGCATGCGCTTGAGGTGGAAGTTGAGCAGCCGCCACTGGTGCGCGTCGGTGCCGCACACAACGCGGCAGCCGACGGTGCAGAGCGCGGCGAACAAGAGACTGGAGCGCTGCCGAATACTGGGCAGCGTGTCGTGGGTCGCGTCAAACACGGGCACGTAGTGGTCGCAGCCGGCGAAAAACGTGGCAAAGTAGAGCGTGGCTTGGTCGAGGGTGATGAGCCCAACGGAGACAAAATCGGGGAGCCGACCGGGCTCGGTAGTAAAATGAGACCGACGGGTTCTACGGAGCAGTGTGACGACTTCTGGCGACTGGGTCGCATGGTGAGCGCTTTGGTTGGCGTTTGAGTGGCGTGAGGCGGCATCATCGACAGGGCCGGCGATGGAGGCGCTCAAAATGCCCGGCGCGGGCGCTGGAGGTCGCGTGTTCGTGTCATTCGGATCATGTTCCCGACCGCTGTTGGAAAAAATGTCCAAGTTTCTTCGCAGACTTGATACCTCGTCGCTCAGCGCGTCAATTCTTCTGCGACGACAAACGGCATTAGTGCTGGCTGAGCCTGGAAATAGCTCAGACGTACTCGAGGTAGGGGTCTCTCGGCCGCTCGGTGAAGTGGCAAGTCTTCTTTAAAGAACGACATCTTGGAGAAAATCAGTATACCAATTGAAATGACTAGAAGGGTTGCTAACCTCGTGCATGGATTGCCGCCGTTACATCGTACCTGGAACATGTTAGTGTGGTGAAGCGCGGGCCGCACGTTTGTACGAACCTTGGACGCCCGACACGCACCACAGGCCGTCTAGGGTCCCTCTATTAGTGCGAAATATATACGTTGGTGTTTTATAGCTTTTACCGGTATCCGCCTTTTTCGCAGCCTTTCCCTTGATGAGCTTTGTGAGTTTGAAGCCATGCCGAGGCGGGGGTGCAATGGTTGAGTTCGGTTTCGGTAGTAAGAGGAGTCAGTGGCGCTATAACCAAGTAGAATTGAGAATTGAGAACCAGACAGGGCGCCACCCTTTACCGTCTTCAATATCTTGGGTTTGCTGATGGTACTGATTTGTTGTATGGCCTGCAGGCCTACCTGTGGATTGTGTAAGTGGTCGCAGGCAACAGGCAAAGTCGGCAACCAGGAAACACAGTGCGAGCTTCAACACAGTGAGGTCTGGCGCACAGTACTAATTCTACGTTTATATAGGTAAGCAGCCATCGGCGTAACACATGTTTCTCCGTCAACCTGCACCAGCCAAGGCTCTCAGCCATTTCCCAATACAATGTTAAACTCCCTTCCTTCGCTCCTTTGAAACCGCGGATGGATCAGCCGCCCGACGCGGTTACGCGGGCGCTCGCCCAGCCGCACATTGTGCAGTCCATCTGCCTCAGCTTGCCTGTGCGCATGCTCGTGACGGCCGCCCTGATCAATCGCACCTTCTTCGCCGAGGTCACCGAGACCCAGTGGAAAGACGCACCGCTCTGGATATTGCGTGCGTGCGTGCAGCCGAGCCGTCGACAGCTCTACGCGTCCAAAATACGCCACCTCGAGCTCGACCTCGACGACATCGCACGTTCTGTGGCCAATCATAGTTTTATTAAGAGACTCACGTTTGACAGCTTGCGGGTTCTTGTCCTGTCTACCTGCAATGCGTCTCCAGACGACGACCATATGTTCCTCGCGCGCTACTTTGGTCCCGCGCTCCGCGCCCTCACCCTCAAGACTGGTGCCGCCCACGCTTCCCTCTTTTCGCTCCTGGGAGGACGGTGCAATCGGCTCAGCTCGCTGAGCCTCGGGCGTGCCAGGGTGGATTTGATGGCACTAGCACAGTTCATGGCCACGTCTCGGTATCTCAGGTACTTGGAGTGGGCGGGCGACCACGACTCCGGGACGCTGCCGCTGGCGTTCGTACAACAGTGTGCGCGCCAGCCATCCCTACGTGAGTTACTGCTTTCAACGACGACTATAGGGGTAAGATCGCTTCTTATAATTCATCTCGAGATTTACCGCCCGTTTGCGGCGTTGGAGCGGTTTACGGCTACGCTTCCCTCGAATGCTATGTCTCTTCTGTGCGGATGTCTTGCCAAAACGGAAGAGATTGAATTGGAGCTGATAGACCTCATCTCGCCGGTCTTAGAGCCTCTGTCGCAGCTACAGGGTCTAAAGAAGATTCGACTTCGCATCCCCTCTACCGGTCCTTTCTCTGCATCTGAAATGATGTCATTGTGCTCGCTGGTCAAGCTCCAAGAGTTTTGCACATTCATCGTAGAGGACGTCGACGATACTCCCCAATACGATGCCGTTTCGCAGAGTAGTCACAGTAGTAGTCGTGAGTATGCTTCGCTTGGACTTGCCGCCAGTCAATTTAAAACGTGGGTCTCGCATTTCCCTTCCCTGCAACGGCTTGAATTATGTTGGGCGGTGCCTGGCAAGTATGACGAAGCCTTGGTTGCGCTCGCATCGCACTGTCCCATGCTGGAGTATTGCCGCTGGCCGGCAGAGATTGACTTTTCGGCCCTTCAGCTGGGATCGCGGGAACAACCTCTCTTTCCGAACTTGGTTTGTCTTTCTGCCCCTTCCGCCACGGCGTCTGATGACCCAAACGACTTTCCCTGGTGAGAGTCATGCAACATTCATCAATTTCAAGCCGTGCCAGGCCCGGCTGACCTTTCTTTCTAGCAATCTCGACAAGAGCCAGCTGGTTGAGGTAGTGAAGAAGCACTTTCCCAAGATGAGGGTCACCCTCATCATACCTAAAGTCTGGGGTCAAGGTGTGAGTTTCATTGCGGCGGCACTTGCAGTCTTGAGCTGCTAAGTAAAGAATTGTTAGCCGATTAAAACAACTCGTGAAGAAGCATTTAAGTACGAATTAGACGCAGCGATGTTCTTGATTTCTATAAAGCGCGCATTCTCGCTTCCATAATACCAGAACCACAAGCGAGCATGAGCATCTTGCCCTTCCCTTGGTGTTGGGAAAGACGTAGCTTCTGCCCTTCATCTCACAGTGCAGCTGGTGCGGGAGAGACATGGGCTTGTCCAACCAGGCACCCCTCTTGCTAGGTAGTCCACACAAATCTTGCACAATACTATCTTCCACCATAACTACATTGTCCTCCACAATACCTTATCTTCCACAGCACTGGCAGTCATTACCAAGGTACCCCTGTTATTGTCAATAAAGCCATCGAACCATCAATTTCCGAATCTAGTATCAGCTTCAGCCTTCTCGTCGCCAGGGATCTCCTTCCAGTCTTTCAGGCCTGGTTTGAGCAAGCCTGATTTGACGCCTTCCGGCACCATGCGCCTTCTGGGCCTGATTTGACGCCTTTCTGCACCATGTGTCTTCTAGGTCTAGTTCGACATTGGTCCTGTCCCTGTACATCGTACCACCTCTGTCAGCCACGCATGAATGAACTTGGTTTGATCTACCTCTGCCTTGCATCTATTCGCATCAATGACTTCAGAAAAAGCCATCATAACGTCCGGGCAAAAGTCGGCGCTGTCACGCTCAAAGTGCAAATTCGTCAACCGCGGAAAGTGTTTCTGCAGCGTTTTCGACCATTCCTGAGAGGTTCCCAAGATGTGGCCCGATGCGCGCAGGGATCCCCAACACAGTGAAGAGACGTTTGGAAATGCAATATCTGATCTTGTATCAAGATGGAGCTTCGTGATATCGATGCCTGCAAGCTTTAGTGTGCAGCTGCGCAACCGGCGACAGCACTTTGCCAAATGCAGCATCGATCTAGCGGTCAGCGTACATTCGCACGCAAGATGCAGGATTTGCAGTTTCGGAAAGCCCGAAACTAGCTCTTCAAAATGCCCATCAGTAAAATCGAGCTCCTCCTCCAACAGGACCTCGTAGGCATCGCTTACAGCCTCACACACGTCTATGGAAAGTTTGCTAAGGTTCGACAAGGGGCACAACGATAGAATCTCGGCTCGTGGAAGCTCTGCATTTCTTGGGAAGCGCAGTGTCAACGACTCGAGGCACATGAGAGTGGATATATGACAGAGGCAAGGCACTTCGGCGTCGGACAGTATCAAATGGAGCTGGGTGAGATTCGGCATGCGTCCCATCAAGGAAGCGACTCCTCTCGCCGGCACGGCCCCTGTAAAAGCGCCCAGGCACGGCAACAGCTGCCCTTTCTCGGCGTCTACTTTATTCATATCGACAATCGTGTGGCGACCGTGAAAATGCGCCATTCGAAGTCGGGCGAACTGCAGGTGCTCGAAACGGCGGAAAAGGAGGGCATTTTCGCCGCCCTCCTTGAGCAGAAACGTGAGCTTCGATGCGTAGAGTTGCTGGCGGCTCTCGTCAACATGCGAGGCGAGATGCTCCAGCGTTGCATGACGCCACAGCAAATCAGTAGCAGTCTCAAACCACGCGAGACTAACGCAAGCCACACGGGCCTGGGATCCGACGTCCAGGAAGTTTAATATGCTTCGCAGGGTCTCGGGATTGCCCAAAGCTCGTGCGGTGCTGTGTAATTCTTCCATAGTCGATAGATTCATCAGCAGGCGTCGGAGATTAAGCTCTGGATGCCGGTATTGATGATGATCAGATCAAGCAAGGTGTGTCAGGTTGCAGAGAGGCTGCCGGATTGCGCAAATGCAGCTGAAACAGTGTGCTGGAAGTTGCAGTGTACTTCTATCAGCTTTCTATAGGTCGGTAAAAGGATGTACAAGATGGAAACGATGGAGCAGCCAAGAATGACGATGGGTTCAATAGACTGTGTTTATTCTTAAATGTCCATGTATGTGATAGCTTTTGCAGGTGATATATACATAGGTAGCTAGAACCTGAGGCATCCCTGGACAGGTAGGTAGGCAACCACACAGTCGTCTCCTCCAACTCTCTTCCTACATCAACACCAACTTTTTGAAAGTTGGGGTGTCGGCAACAGAAGTGTACGGTAGTACACTTCTGCTTTTTAAAGGAATTTCGAGAGTTCACCTTCATCACGAACACACACACACACAACCCAGTTGCACACACAACAGCAACGCTGCCGCCAGCTACCTACCTAGGTAGGCAGGCTGGCCGTGAGTACGCTGGCACTGCCACGATAGCTGCTGTTAAACTCTTGAGGGGCTACGCGACATGGGCGCCGTCATATAGAGGTCTATATAATAGTTTAGGTAATATAATTAGCTTTTTAGATAAAAGGCAGGTTTTCTAGAGTTTTCCTATCTCTTTTAGCCCTTCTAGTAAGCCCTAATATACTATTCTTTATAGGTATTAGGAAGGCTAGGGTAAATCTACTAAAAATGGGCTTCTTTATTATATTACGTAGGAGGGCCTTCCTAGTTAGGTCTTGCCCTTAAGACCTGGTTAATTTGCGATTCTTTTTATTAAGAGGAGCTGCTAGGCGTCCTTTGCCCTTCTTAGGGATTTCGCCGATGTAAAATAGCAATCAATCGATCAAACAGTCGTCTCCTCGTAGCCTGGGGACAGTGTCGCTTAGTAAAACCAGCCGTATTCGGCCGAATGGTTAAGCCGCTCATAGCTACGGAATGCCTTTTTAATCGCCAGAATGCCGGGGGTATCGTTTTTGTGCTCTACAACGAAGCGATAGAGTTTGGGGAAATGCTTGCGGATAATTTCTGTGACCTCTTCTTCCGCGCAGTCCCTAGGCCAGTGTTAGTTCGCAGCAAGGATACGGGCGCAAGAGGTGTGGGAGGAAACTCACTCTGGGAATTTCTTGCGGTCGCCACCTGTCCGGGCAAAGGCCACATGGAGCAGCTGCAGGCTTGGGAAAAGAGGCCTTGTCAGCAACGGCAGGTTGAGGTTGGTGAAGTCGATCCCGCCCGGCCACACGATGCGCTCGAGCCGGGGACAGCAGCTAGCCACCGTCATCAGAGCGGCAAGATACGACTGAGAGCTAGTCATGCGCACCTCCAGCTCAAGCTCCCTCATCAATGGGAAACAGGCGATCCATGTCTGGACCTCATCACAGGTGAGGGGGAACTCGGGAAATCCCTCCTCGCCTAGGGCCTCGCTGTACAGGCACAGACTCTCCATCCGTGATAGCGACTGCAGCGATAGAATCTCGGCCTTGCAAAACGTCGTCTCCTGCACGAAATGAACGCGCAACCGTCGCAGCTTCTTCATCTTTGACGCGGCCTCCAGAATCGACACGTCCGTGTCCTGCACATTCAGCACCATGTCAATCATGTCCTCGCACCACCGCGCCAGCAGCGGTATCGCCATGGACGGCACGACGCCCAAGAGGCGCTCCAGGGCCGGGAACGGCGCCGCGTGCTCCGCCGCAATCTGCTGCAGCGCGTCGACGGGCAGGCGCAGCGAAGGCCCAAAGTGAAGGGCACGCAGTTTCCGCTGACGCGCGCACTGGACGAGTAGCGGCCCGTGGAGCTCGCCCTCGGGGGAGACGCCGGCGTCGCGGGGCTCCAGGCGCAGGTCCTCGAGCAGCGGGTTGGCGGCGAGCACGGCGACGAGGGCGTCGTAGGAGAAGTCGGGCCAGTACGTGTCCAGGCGCAGGCTGCGGAGGCGGGTGCAGCGGCGGCGAAACGTGCGCAGCAGGGCGTCGGTGAGGTGGCAGTCGGAGAGGGACAGCGCGCGCAGGCCGGCGGGCAGGTAGCGGTGCAGCCGCTCGTGGTAGCGGTCGTCGCCCTTGGCGGCGGCGGCGGCGTCGTCGGCGACGAGGCGCGGGCTCGAGTAGTGGGCGAGCAGCAGGGTCCGGAGGCCGTCAAACTGCACCCTGCGCAGGGCGTCGGCGTGCTTGCGCATCTGGCTCTCGCTGAGCGCCACGTCGCGCACCTTGGAGGCGTAGCGCTGCCGCCGGCTCACCTGCACGCGCTGCGCGAGCGCCCAGAGCGGCGCCTCGCTCCATTTCGCCTCGGTGGCGTAGGTGAAGAAGTTGCGGTTGATGAGCGCCGCGGCGACGAGGCTTTCGGGGGGCAGCTCGTTGCAGATGGACTGCACAATGTGCGGCTGCACCAACGCCCGCGCGACGGGGCTGGTGACGTCCATGTGTGTTTGTAGGCGAGGGTGAGCGGCGCGTCTCTGACTGGCTGAGATTGGACAAGGATGCGATTCGTTACCATGCGATGGAAGGATTTGTACGGCAGTAGTGGTGTATTGTTGGTATTGTTGTGTATCGTGGTTGAATTTTATGTCGTCGTTTGAAGCGGCGTGCGCCGATAAAACGTGGAGTGCTGTTAACGAGGGTAGCCGAAGGTTAAGAGGGCGCACCCACTAAAAGCACCCTCTGATGTATCAGGCATGAATTGTAGACAAGGGAATAGTTGAGATGCAATAAACTATATTTTATACGTACTTGAACATTGTGATGCTACTGAATTCCAAGACGGTTGAATATAATAAGCAAAATGAGGTTTATTTTTAGTAGTATAATAATAGCTATCCCACGCCAGTATATATAGAGATCGGTGTGGGTTCGTTTTGTGCTCTACGCGTCTCCACGCGCAGGATTTTTAAGCGTCACGCGTGCCATGGTTGTCGGTGTCGGAATGGGGGCTGAATCCAACCTTCGCATGCAGTTTATTCCGCAACCAACATGGAGGACTTCCACTTCACCACGCGCGCGCTCAGTCATCCTGAAATCCTGCGACGCATCATTACCCAGCTCACAAACCCCTCGCTGGCGCGTGCAGCCCGCGTGGCCCGGAGCTGGTTCGCGCCTGCCACTGATGCACTGTGGCAGTATGGCTCTCTGGCGCACCTCCAGAGGGTCAAGCCCGACAAGCGGCGGCAGCAGTACGCATCCAAGATGACGGATCTCGCCGTCGAAAATAAGCACCGGTCCTGGGACTACACAATTGCCAGGAAACTGAAATTTGAGAAAATTACATCTGCTTCCTTTATCGATTATCTGGCGGACCAGGATCGCTTGTGCAAGTCCTGCCAGCCCTTCAAGTCGTCGCCGGTCAATGAAGTCACCATCATGGACTCGATCGTCCACGACGCCTTCTTTGAATGCATCGCGGAGCTGTGGCCCAATATTAGCAAGATCTACATTGGGACCCTCTTCCCCAGTGAAATCACCCAACAAGCCTTTCTCGACTTTGTCAAGTCCCGTCCGTCGCTGGAGAGCCTCGATGTGCAGGAGGGTGAAGACGATCTTCAAGGACAAGATTTGTTTCCGCACTGCGCCACAAGAGCCGAGCTCACCGCTCTCCGGTTGCCCTTTGACATATCTACCGAGGTTGTGCAAAAGACCATCGCGCAAGAGGGCAATCTTTTCCCCTCTCTCAAAAGTCTCTTCATAACAATGCCTTCCGACGCCTTCTCGCTTTTGCTCGGCCCGTTTCGGAACCTCACAGACCTAGAGATCGAAGTGACAGACGTTACGACGGCCATTCTATCCGACATATCTTCTATCACAGCACTCGAAAGACTCGTCGTCATTTTGCCGTGCAACTATGACCTCCCCAAGAAGGAGATTTTGTCGCTTCGCTCGTTGACCAAGATGCGTGACCTCTACTTGAACCGGGACGGCCTCGATGGAGACGTGATGGAGGCTGAAGATCTCGAGCAGCTGGATTTCATCGATGCCGACTTTGAAGAACTCGTATCTCACTTTCCAGGCCTCTGCTCCCTCACCTTTTTGTGCGAATGTACCCTCACCGCCAGAGCCCTGCTCTCTCTGGCTGACCACTGCCCGCGTCTCGGCAGTGTGACACTGCCGAGCGATGTAGACTTGTACGGCCTTGGTCTGGACACGCGCAAAAAAGTTTTATTCCCGGAGCTTTGGTCTCTACGACTCGAATCGCTCTACACATCCCAGTACACTGGTGAAGTAGTTGGGTAAGTTTATCTGTGTGACGTTTCTGCATCTATTCTTTCAGCCTTTCAGATTTTCAGACCACAGGACCCAGAACGGCCGCGGGTTGGAAGGGGAGGCGCAAGGCCTCTTCTCTGTTCAGCTGAGGAGTGAATTGAACAGTCCACGGACTCGTCGCCGCGGGTCACTCTTGTATACATGACACACTCAACACTCTTCTAACACTCTACCCGTACATAGTACCGATTTTGAACATCTCTCCAAGCGCATCGGAGAGCATTTTCCAAAACTAACCGACATGGCAATCAAGGATACGGAAAGAGGCTTTGCGGATCTAGCGTCTAGCTTCGCCCCGTCCGTCAAGAGTCATCGGCGAAGAGTGCGCGAAAAGGTGGCGAGCGATCTAGAATTGACCGAGGTCAAGGGTCCATGGATTGGAAGCGTCTGTGAGATGGAAGATGACGAGGCCTATGGCTTTGACACGGAGGAAGAGGATCCCAGCGAGGACGATGAATACTATCGCTATGGTGCTGAAGATATTGACTATGAAGAGGACGACGAATCGGATGACTCGGTATCCATCACAGGCCCTGTTTCATCAACAATGCCAGGGGGCGATGTTCAGCTGGGAGGGCTAACAGACTCGGATGATTCTAGTTCTAGCTGGGAGGATGTGGAGGAGGAATAGAATCAGCTCAGCTATGCATGTACGAATTACATAGTTGGTGTATCTAAAGGCACAAATTACGGATTTGTACCTGTAATAACTAATAAATACTCTACGAATATACGGACATACGCAGGCTGTGGCTCTCAAGGTGGCTGACTCAGCACCTTGTCACGCATGCGTCAATCGGAAAGGGGCGAGCATGGAATTAATGGACAACTTGCCAAGTCAATTCCAAGTCTACCCTCTGCCACAGCTCGCGAAAACATGCCCAATCTTCTAATACATTTCAGAAATGAAAGAACACAACGGTCAGTGCATGGGCAGCGCGATGACTTCATCAGTCAACTACGAAGCCGCGAAAATGATATCCTCAAACTCGCCGCAACGAAATGTGGCCAACCGACTGCCGAGTTCTTCCAATCGGAAGTCTGTGGCGACTACTATACTCGCGGTAGCTATAACGCGACATTTTTCATCAGGCTCGCCAATGGGCAGAAGTGTGTCTTGCGTATACCGCTGCGGCCGTGCCTGGCATACTGTCCACACCGCAAACTAGAATGTGAGATCGCCACGATGCAGTAAGCCCTTGCGTCTATGCTAGCCGTTGTCTGTCATTGCGTTTACTGACTAGAGTCAGACACTTGTCAAATTGCACCACAATCCCAGTCCCGAAAGTCATGGCGTACCGCATAGAGAAGGCCGATGATCCGCTATCCACGTTTGCTATTCTCGAACATATTGATGGAAAACGCCTCTCGCCCGCCGAATTGGATAATACACCTAGCGAAAACCGACTCGAGCTATACAAGTCTCTAGCAGATGTCTACATTCAACTGCGACGCCAGGAATTCCCGTCAATCGGCAAGCTTACGAAAGGCGTGGATAGAGTGTGTGTTGGCGAGAAGACAGCGTCCATAATGATGAATATGATGCAGCTCGAAGGCTTGGACCCCATACATATTCAAAATTCTTATCACGACGAGTCGGGGCTCCTCAAATCTGCCAATATCTACACAAAGATGCTGCTGAGCATTGGATACAGTGCTTTTCTGAAGAGCCCAAATGCCGTGATGGTCGACATGGGCCTAGAAAATTTGCACCATCATTTCTTGTTCAGCAAGTACGTTGAGACATGGATAGAGCCTGGCCTTGACGAAGGACCCTTTGTGCTGATCCATGGTGACTTGCACTTGTCGAACATGGTAGTCGACGACGACCTGCGCCTCGTTGGCGTGCTCGATTGGGAGTGGAGTCGTGTTGTACCAGTTCAATATTTTTCGCCGCCTCTGTGGCTGTCCAACAGAAATGAGGTCCAGTTGGCCTATCCTATTTCGTGGGAGTGTTATTGTGTTACAGAGTTTGCCAAGTTTCTGCGAGTGGTCAAATCGCGAGAGGAGGACATGTATCAAAATAACCTACTTTACGACGAATGGACAAGGAAGATGACTGACCGTGCCGGACCATTAGTCGCCAATGCCCTCGAAAACTGGACCGATGTGGATTGGTTTATTTTTCAACGATCATTCGATCAGGATCCCTCGCTAAAAGAGACCGCCTTGGAAGCGTTTGCTGCCGATGACCCTCTGCGCACACAGCTCGCAGAAATGAAAGAACACGACTGCCGCATATATGAGAAAGACTTGGAATTACTCGTCGAATCTGACAAGAATGGGCAAAATAGCCTTAGTGCGACCATTCCGCAGACACTCGCCTGGAGAGCTTATCTTCAAAATATCCCAATCAGTGCTGGCGCTCTCGGTGCAACTATCGCGGCTTCAGCCGTAGCGGTCGCCATCTGGTCACGATGGCAACCTAGCCCCAGCCGCTGAGCAGTTCAATCTCCTCCTCACATTTGACCTTGATCTGTTCCAAACGTGCAATGCTCAAATTAAGTGCATCTATCTCCTGCTCAAAGGTGAGACTCATCGGATCCATGCCACGCATCAGCTTTGCCGCATTTGAAGAGGACCTGAGCTGATTATCAGTTTTGTCGGACATTTTTCTCTTCAGTTCCTGCATTTCTGCCTGCGTGGTCCTGATTTTGTCTTGTATTTTGTCTCGCTCCGCAATCTTGTCTTTGAGCTCCGCGATTCTGACGTGGCTGATTTTGTTGGACATGTTTCTGTGAAGGTCTGAACACGGTGTATATCAGTAGTGAATCAGGCTCTATACCTTTAAAATGCTGTGGTTTAGAATACCATGTACATACAAGAAACTGTTTCAGGCTCCAGCTTTTCTCTCTCTTGATGCAATGTCGCGAGGTTCTGTTAACGAGTGCGCGACGGCGTTGATGTCGATGGAGCGGGGTAATGGTACCACAGCACGACCTTTCGAAATGCATGGTCGCCAAGCGCCACGAGCCTGACATAATTAAATGTATGGGTCTGGCATTCTGGTATCATACATTGTTCCCGTTATGCCTGTCTATTGACTCGCAGAGCGACACCTCGCGTATAGTTATCAAGCCTGCCAGACAGTCGCTACGGCGTCTCCGCAGATAGCTAGCGCGATGCAACGATGTCAATCGCCAATATTTATATCCTGATCAGCGAGGAAACATAGCCTGTACCAAACTGAACATGGATCGACCCATCTTGTTCAGTGCCTGAAAAAGACGAGCCACCCAGGCCACTTCGGCAGCCATTCGGAAGCCTGGGAATCTCGGTCCCTTATGAACAGCGCATAATTTCCGCTTTTTCTGCACCCGACCGCAACGCACTCGCAAACCTAATGCAAACATGGCCTACAGCGTTACATGCACACCCGACATTCTTCCTCGTCGTCCCTCTGGGCAGCCAACCACCGCCGAGCTCGCCGAACATTGCCGGCGGGCTAAACTTGCCCCGCACCGCGCCGGGCCGTCGCCCCGCCCCTAAAATACGCTTGTGCTAGGTGCTCTCAACGGCATTTTGGGGAGCCACCAATTACGGCATCGTCCTACGCCCAGATGAGCAACGTTGTATGGCCAGGGGACGCATCGCCTGCAGGTACATAATATGCACGTCCCCAGCGCGCTCATTCTCGACAGGCCAGTCTTGTTGAGCCTCTCCTGCCTACATTGCCTTCGGGAGCCGACAGAGCCATGATGATTCGGAGCACTCTAGTATCGCTACTCGCCGCCAGTGGCTTCTGCGCCGCCAGTGCCCCCGCCCCCGCCCCCACGCCCCTCATCTCGGCCGCCGGCGAGAAAGCCGCCATCCCCCGCTGGGACTTGCAGTCTACGGCGCACGTCGACAAGGACCTCGCCAAGCTCTCCCAGGCCGGCGCCGCCGACACCTCGTCGTGGCACCACGTCGAGGCGTCGCGGTGCACCCTCATGGGCTGCCTGCTCGAAACAGGCACGTACAAGGACAGCGAGCTCTGGTTCTCGGACAACCTCGCCCGCTTTGACGGCAGCATCTTCGCCGTGCCCTGGGTCTACCGGAGCGAGTTTGCGCTCCCGCCCAAGCGCCAGCACGTCCTGCTCGAGACCAACGGCATCTCCTCCAAGGCCGACCTCTACGTCAACGGCCAGCAGGTGGTCGCCGCCGACGTCCAGGCGGGCGCGTACGCCGGGCACACCTACGACATCACGCACCTCGCCGCCCCCGCCAACGCCCTGCTCGTCCGCGTCTACCCCACGCAGTACCTCTACGACTTTGGCGTCGGCTTCGTCGACTGGAACCCCTACGCGCCTGACAACGGCACCGGCGTCTGGCGCGACATCGCCCTCAGGCTCACGGGCCCCGTCGCCCTCGGCCCCCTGAGCATCATGGTCGACGCGCCGCTGCCGATTGGCGAGCGCCCGGCCACCGTCACCGTGCGCGCCAAGGCCACCAACCTCGAAAACGCAAGCGTCAAGCTGGCGGCCACGGCGAGCATCGCGGACCCGGCCGGTGCTGCCGTCGGCGGCGCGCAGAACCAGAGCGTGACGCTGGCCGCGGGCGAATCCCGGTACGTCGAGTTCAAGCACGTTGTGCGGCGACCGCAGGTGTGGTGGCCGAAAGCCTGGGGCGCGCAGCCGCTGTACACGGCGCGGGTCGAGTTGGCCGTCGCCGGCGCCGTCTCGGACAAGGCGGCGAGTGCGTTCGGGATCCGCACCGTGACGTCGGCCGTCAACGCGCACAACGACACGCTCTTCACCGTCAACGGGCACCCGTTCCAGGTGCTCGGCGGCGGGTACAGCGCCGACATGTTCCTCCGCTGGGACGGGCGGCGCTTCGCGCGCATCGCGCAGTACATGCTCGACATGGGCCAGAACACGATCCGCCTCGAGGGCAAGATGGAGCAGCCCGAGCTGTACGCCATCGCCGACCGGCTCGGGCTCATGGTGCTCGCCGGCTGGGAGTGCTGCGACAAGTGGGAGGCCTGGTCCTACAACCACGACCTTTCCGTCGACCCGCCGCCCGTGTGGGACGACGGCGACTACGCCATCGCCAACGCCAGCATGGCGCACGAGGCCGCCGTGCTGCAGACGCACCCCAGCCTGCTCGGCTTCCTCGTCGGCAGCGACTCGTGGCCCGACGACCGCGCCACGGACCTCTACGTCGACGCCCTGCGCGCCGCCGGCTGGCAGCTGCCCATCATCGCGTCGGCCGCCCAGCGCGGCTTCCCCGCGCGCCTCGGGCCCTCGGGCATGAAGATGGACGGGCCGTACGACTGGGTGCCGCCGAGCTACTGGTTCGACACCAACGGCGGCAGCGGCGCCGACCGCTACGGCGCCGCGTTTGGCTTCGGCTCCGAGCTCGGCGCCGGCGTCGGCACGCCGGAGCTGGGCAGCCTTGAGCAGTTCCTCAACGCGACGGACCTCGAGGACCTCTGGACGCGCCCGGACAAGGGGCTGTACCACATGTCGAAAAAGTCCATGTTCTACACGCGCCGCATCTACAACGCGGGGCTGTACGCGCGCTGGGGCCCGCCCGCGTCCCTCGACGACTACCTGATGAAGGCGCAGCTGACCGACTACGAGGCCACGCGGGCCGAGTACGAGGGCTACGCGGCGCTGTGGTCGGCGGCGCCGCGGCCCGCGACGGGGCTCGTCTACTGGATGCTCAACAATGCGTGGCCGAGCCTGCACTGGAACCAGTTCGACTACTACCTGCGGCCGGCGGGCTCGTACTTTGGCACCAAGACGGGGGCGCGCCTCGAGCACGTGGCGTACGACCACGCCACGCACGCCGTGTGGCTCATCAACCACGCGCTGGACCGGTGCGGCGCGCGCACGGTGCAGGCGGACGTGGTGGACGCGCACGGCAAGACGCTGCTGGCGCGGCAGACGATGACGGCGTCGACGCGGCCCAACGCATCCCGCAAGGTCGGCACGGTGCGCGGCCTGAACGGCTTCCGGGACGTCGTGTTCCTGCGGCTCACGCTGTCGCGGGGCCGGCGCGTGCTGAGCCGCAACGTGTACTGGCTCGCGCCGGGCGTCGACGTGCTGGACTGGAACAACTCGACGTGGTACCACACGCCGGTGGCGCAGTACGTCGACTACACCCCGCTGAGCAGGCTGCTGGGGCCGGCCAGCGTCACGGTGACGGTCGGTGCGGTGGCCGCAGCGCAGGAAGGGGTCGCGGAAAGGGCCGTCACGCTGGAGAATAGGTCGGGCGTGCCGGCGTTCTTTGTGAGCTTGAACTTGGTGGACGCGGCGGGGGTGGATGTGCTGCCGGTGCTGTGGTCGGATAATTACGTGACGCTCTGGCCAAAGGAGACGCTCACGCTCACGGTCGGGCAGTGGGATGACAGGGCCAGGGCGGTGGAGATGAAGGGGTTTAATGTCAAGGCGGCGACTGTCAAGTTCTAAGGGTTAATTAATGTCATGTCGAGTTGAAGTTTAATGTCAAGTCAAGATACAATGTAAATGTCAAGTCAAGTTCCAATGTTCAATGATTGTCCATCATATGTATGCGCTTCTACTTGAATATGCTTGATAGAGACATGTGACAACAAATGTTGTCCATGTTGAGTAATGCCATTAAATACATAATAATTCGTACATGTTTTTTCCATGCGTAAAATCTTGTACACGAGACCCTTAGACGAGGTACCGGAAGCCCTTGCGCATCTGGAGGGCCTCGTCGGGGCTGTTGAGGATCTGGACGGCGCCAGCGGCACCGCCCGAGGTGGACGCAGCCTCAGCCTCGTCGGCGGCGGCCTCGCTCTTCTCGAGCTGCTTATTGAGGCTGATGAGCATGAGGCGGACGATCCAGGCGCCAAAGATGGTGACGCCAAACATGCTGAGCACAATGGCGTAGCTCTTGCGGTAGCCGTGTTCCTTGAGGCTCCAGACGTAGGAGCCGGCGACGTTGCCGAGCTGAGCAAAGGCGTTGATGATGGCAATGGCGACGGCGCGCTTGGCGGGCGGGCGCGGGAAGGACGAGGCGATCCACGAGTAAAAGACAATGTAGCCGGCGTAGGAGCTCGTCTGCAGGAAGAGGGCAATGTACCGGGCCGGCACGTTGGACGTGGACATGCAGATGACGAAGCCAACGATGCCGACGAGCATGGGGCAGACAATGTGCCAGAACTGCGAGGGCGTTAGTGATTGGTGCGCACGAGAAGGAGGAGGGGGAGGAGCGTACTCGTTCTTGGGTGCGGTCCGAGTTCCAAGCGACAGCGTACGAGACGAAGCAGGCAAAGACCCATGGGGGGGCGCTCATGAGAAGAGTAGGAACGTAATTGAAGCCGAGTGTCTGGGTCAAGCTGGGCTGTGAGAGGGTTAGTCGTTGTTCAATGCAGCATGAATAGCATGGATAAAGGGTGGAAACATACGAAGAAGGCATTGAATGACAAGCCAACGACGTAGGAAGTAAAGGTCAACATCATGACATAGATCTTGACATCCTTGAGCGCCATCTTGAGGCCTTCCGTTGGCCCCATGTTGGCATCCGTGTCGAGCTCACCGACATCCTCGACAATGCGCAGCTGGGCGACCAAGCACTCCTCCTCGGTGAAGCCGCGGGTGTTGTGCGGCAGATCGGGGAGGATAAACGCCGCAGCAATAGCAATGGCACACGTGGCGGCACCCTCGATCCAGAAGAGCCAGCGCCAGGCCGGGTGGCCGAGGACGCCATTCATGTTGGACAAGACGCCGGCGCCAACGAGGGCGGAGAAGGCGTTGGAGATGAGGTTGCCGCAGAAGAGCAGGGCGTTGCGCTTGGTCAGCTCGCGGCGGGTGTACCACTTGGAGAGGATGAGCAGGGCGCCGGGCAAGAAGGCGGCCTCGATGAAGCCGAGCAGGAAGCGGATGGCGACCATGCTGCCGAAGCCCTGGGCGTTGCCGGAGAGGGTGCTGATGATGCCCCAGAGCAGCATGGCGCCGGCAATGTAGAGCGAGGGCCGCTGGATGCGGTTGATGAACATGTTGGACGGCACCTGCATGAGGATGTAGCCGACGTAGAGGATGCTGAGGCACGTGGCGTACTGCGTGTCGTCGAGACGCAGGTCCTCCTGCAGGCCCTTGAGCCGCGCCGCCGCCAGGTTGTTGCGGTCGAGGTAGTTCATGATGTAGATGAGCACGAAGAGCGAGCACCGCGCGTCGAGCTTGCGCTTCAGGCTCTTCTCGACGACGGCGCGCCGCGCCGGGTCCATGTTGTGCGGGATCTGCAGCCCGTGGGCGGCGGCGACGGCGGCGAGGCCCGTGTACGCGGCGGTGCTGGTCGCGCCGGCGTCGTGCCCGGTGTATTCGACGTTTTCAATCTGCTGCTTCTCGTTGTCTGAGGGGTCAGCCGTGCCGGCGGGCGTGATCTTGTCGTCCATGGTTGAAGGGAGCGGGCGGGGGAGGGGAGATGGCGAGAGGGGAAAATGGTGTTTGACAGGAAACCCGCGAGCACAAGAGGGAACGAGACGAGCAGGAGAGAAATCAAAACGAGGGGAAACGGGGTTTTAATGACCCCAAGGCCCACGAGGGAAAGCCCCAGCTGATCTTTTTTTTCCCATCAGTTTTCTAAATTGTGGGAAAGGGCCGAATGGCGAGGCCGTTGTTGAGTTGGGTTGGGGTATAGTTTTTGCTAGTGCAGTTTTCTTCTCTCCTGGAGTGTCGCCGGGACTGCATCCCTGCCAGCCGCGGGGACCCCCACACCGTTCATCCACCATGACTCGAGCACTGAAAGATGGGGGCGCCGCATCGTTTTACCATTTATCCTTCCATTGCCGAAGAAAAAAAAAGGCCAGTTTCATTAAGCGGTGGCGTGTTGTGGCTTGCTCGCAGGATCTTGATAGGCGTTGTTGTGGCTGCATCTAGGCTTGCAGCACAACAGCATAGATGCGCGACTTTCCCATTCCTGGTCTCTTGGTCAGCAAGACATAAATATGCCAAGGAGCGGCGGTGAATTTAAATTGTGGCTCGGAATATTTCACTCGTAGAAACGAGGCAGCCGACGCATTAATGACATCCCAAGAAACGAAGCACGCTGGGGCTGCCAGCTGGGGATTGCGGGTTTGTGGGGGCAGCTCGGACGAGGCGGGGAGCTTGAGTTACAGGGGTGAAGGCCAGTGCTCGTTACTGCGCTGGACTACGGGGAGGCCGTTCGCTCTTCCAATTGACAAGAAAAAGAAAGAAAAGTACAAAAGAATATACAATATTCCACTGACGCATTCAAGAACTTCTCTAATTTCTCTCTAATTTCTTACCATCATTTTGACCCTCTCCTGCGTTCGCGACTGCTCCTCCCTAATCCCTTCCCCAGTCACCTGGTTACGTTACAGCACTCCCCCGCCGCAATAAACGCTCCGGGGGAAGAAAATCTGGGGCGCTGGGGCGCTGGAGAAGGGCCTGGAGCAGCACGTGCGCCGCGGAAAACTGCCCATCCACTGACATGATGGGCTTGTCAGTTTGCCACCAAGAATACGTCCTGTTGAGAAAAAGCGAAAAAAAAAAAAAAGGACCAAGGCTGCGCTACCATGGTTTCATCTCAGATGAAGGCGTCGGCAATTGAGATGGTAGTTGGCTTGTACTAGCTACGCCACGGTGGGAGTGGCCGGGGTGGCGCACGCCTTGGCCGAAGGTTAACTTCCTTTCCTGCCAAATTTTGCATCCACAGCAGAAAAATACAGGCCATCGTCGCAATGTCCTTGGTTGGGCAGCTCCCGACAGTAGACACGACGAAGAGACAAAAATGTGTAGGCAGTCTGTCTTTTTATAGAACTAATCATGAACTTAAACAACACACCAGGCTACCGTGAAATCGTCTCCATCCTACTGCAAGCAAACAGGCTCAAGCCCGAAACCACCCCAGCTACATAGGTATCAGGTATCCTACACCTCAGTCACAACAGTGTGCTATCCCATCTGTTCTTGTCCCCCTTCCATCTAGTTCTTCTTGCAGCGCGTAGGGCTCACTGTCTGTCCCTCCCGGTCCGTCGAATCGTTCAGGTCCGCACACACCGGTAGCAGTGTCACCGCGATGCACGCCTCTGGCAGCGCCGCCGTCGTCATTTCCACCGACAGTCCGTATGGCAGCTTGCGGTCGCAGACCATGTACTGGCCAGGTCCGAGCATCAGATCCCCGCGATCAAAGATGACTCTCACACCCTCGGTGCCGGGACCGTACTGCAGGATCGAGCCCGACAGGTTGGCGTCGTCGGGGCTGCGCACGTTGCGCCACGCCTGCGCGTACGGGCCAAAGCCGGCCACGATGGTGCCGCGCGCCGCCCACAGGTCCGCGTAGGTGCCGTTGGTGTGGAATAGGGAGAACTCGTCGTGCAGCGCGGGCGTCACCATGTCCATGCCGGCGCCAATGTGCACCCCGACGACGTACTTGGAGTGGATGGGCGGGGTATAGTCCTGGCTGAGGTCGGTGACTTGGATTTGGAGCTTGAAGCCGTCGGATGTGGTTGGCGGGGGAGCAGCGGTGGCGAGGGCGGCGAGGCCAAGAACGACGAGCGAGGCCATGGTGTTGTGAAGTTGTGTGTAGTGAAGTTATGTGTAGTGCCGGTGATGATACTGGTGATGATGATAGTGGTTGTAGATACGTTGTAGTAGCAGGAGCGGTGAAGCCAAAGATGCTGTCCAGGATGCTGATGATGATTAAAGGTTTCAAAACCAAAGGGATGATTATTGCTATTTATCCTGCAACACGCAAACAGACGGTCCCTGATGATTGCCAACCTGGTCCCGAGCGATCCTACCCTCCCTCATCAGGAAGCTACGTCACAACCTCGTACTGGCGATGCAGGTGCCGCCACAGGGTCTCGCTCGCCGCCTCCCAAGCGACCTACTTGCCTACATCGGGAAGTCACCGACCGATTATTCTTGGAAGAACCGAAAATGGCAACTCATAATACGAGATTTGCATTGTTCGCCGCCCACTTGGATCGGGCCGGCCAGCCCTGCAGCAAGGCAATCAAAGCAATGTAAAAAATGCCGAATCTTTTTTTTTTTTGGAAAAAAATGGTAAAATACATACAAGGGACTTTTCACTCTCTTGATCGTCTACGATTTGTTTGCCGGTTTGCTTTTGCATAACGACCCTTTGCCTACGGGTAGTACATGGAAAGCGATGTAGACGGTGGCAAGAAACACTGTTGCATCAGCCGTTTGCACCACGCCCACGGCCCACGTCGTGATGCGACCCTGAATACCGACGGCCAAACGCGAACCCTTTAAGACAAATGGCCAAAATTTAGCCCGCTGGGAACTCGGAAATGGTATACGAGGGTCGTATTGCCGAGCTCTATAGTAGCAGAATAACCGATTTCCGTTCCATTGTAGCACTAGTCTGTGGTGCAACCTGCCAGCTGCCAGCGTTCTGAGACGTGCAGCGGCCTACCTATTCTTAGCATGTCATCTTGTCGACTCACTGCGCTCGTATAGACAAGAAAGGGACAGTTGCATTCTCGACAACCGAAGGGTGCGTGGACGCGTCTTTGTAGTTGAAATCTCCTGGGGTGGCTGCCATCTTGAGAATGGGCGACAAAAGTGTCCTTCAGGGTGTCAGTCACTATGAGCCCCTGGCTGCGTGGGGGTTTTGAGCCTACCACGAATTCAGAGCCCCCATTGGCCCAAATCATAGAGAGTCCCACTCTTGTCACACTGAGAGACCAGGGCACACCCTTGATGGCCTCTATCATTATCAAGCATCAACCAAACACCCCCGTTCCTACGTGTGCGGAATCACCATATTGTGCTTCCAACAGTAACAATGGGCTATTAGACATGTACAGCCACTCTCCGACGCGAATCAGTTCCTTGAGCATGGCTGCCCTACTGCAATCCCCTGCGCAGACACGTTGTATTCTCACATCGGCAGCAAACGACTTTCGGAACAGCATCAAATCCATCAGCTACATTCAGTTGCATTTGACTGCATTTGTATTTCGTCACTCACTAACCTGCTATTTCCTCAGTAGAACATGTTAAATGCCCACCAAATAGTTACCAGCGCGGCGCCACACGTCATGCTCCAATCTTCGCAGCGGCGCTGTGCACCACAGGCACCGCATCCTCTCAAACCTCCATTGGCATTCCTCTCTCGACTTGACTGCTTAAGCCGACTTGGCCCAGCCAACACGGGGGCCCTGAGCGCCGTCCTCAAAGATGACAAACGCGTTGGCCAGGAAAGGGGAGCCGAAAAAGGCACGCTTGGTATTGCCGCCGTTGGACAGCTTGAACAGACAGTTGCCAGAGCCAATGGGTTGCTTGAGGGCTTCGCCGTCAACCTTGATCGTCTGCCCGTTGCCGATTCCAAAGTAGAAATCGGGCAGCTTGAAGTTGCAGGGCATCGTATTCTTGATGCCGGGCGCGGACTTGACGTAAGCCAAAAACGCCTGCCGGGGGACTTGCGCGCCGGCTGCGCCCGTGTCAATGATGGCCTCCATATCAAAGTTGACAAAAGTGCTGCCGTCGCCGACGGCGTAGCCAGGCGACGTAAACATCCAGTTGCCCTTGGAGTTGTCCACCTTGCTGTAGGTGATGTCGCCCGTGTACTTGGACGCGTCAATGAAGCCGAAACCAAAGGTGCCGTCTGCAAAAAACCAGTTAGTGTTTGGCCGCACAAATGTGATCAAGGTCAGAGGACAAGGAACAACGTACCGGCCTTTTGCTTCAGGTCCGCGGTAAAGACAGGCTGGGCCAGTTGGGCCTTCATGTTGGAGAAGAGCGTCTTCTCCTTGTTCGGCTTGACCCTGTTCTTGCTGTCAAAGCCGAAGCCTACAATACCCGACACAGGGCTGGCGAGAATGTCCCGGCCATCACTAAGCGGCCGGACCTTGTCGGCGTACTCGATGGCCTGGTCAGGGACCTGCAGCCCGGCGACACCGACAAGGTCGTGGTACACGCTACCGCTGGCGCCGGAGCCGTCGGCGTAGCCTCTGTCCCAGGTGGCGCCGGCAAGCAGCTTCGCCGTCGAGCTCATGCTCTGGTTCCAGCGGGCCGTGCCCGCCGGCACAGCACCCTGTGCGGCGTCGCCGAACACCCACAGGTCCGCCGAGCCCGTGTCGAAGACGAGGTTGAGCTTCTGCGGGGGCGTGCCGAGGGCCAACTCAATGTAGTACTCGGCGTTGGGCCGTTCTTGGCTGTTGATGGCGTCGGCTTCACCCTGGTCTGCGCGGCGCCCGAGAATATCCTCGTCGGCGCCGGCCGGCACAGCCATCTGGAAGTTGGGGTTGTACCGGACGGGTACGGTGAACTGGCCCGCAGTCTGGCGCGAGGCGTGACCGACGGCGACGGCACTCGCCAGAGAGGCGAGGCCAACGAGGGAACTGATGCTAGGCATGTTGCACGATTGGTTGGTATTGGTTGAATAAGTGAGCTTGGGTCGAGCTGTAGTCTTGGAGAGTTGAGAAGGTGACTGGTTTGATGCAGAACTTCAAGACTGAAAGACTCGGATCACGTCGTCCTTTTGTATTTCTGAAGGCCTTGCCCGTCGTCATCTCCATCGCTCTCTTGCACAGTACAGACATCGTCAACTCGGCTTCCGTCGGAATTGTGAACAAGACCTGTCTACACTGAGGCAATGCAGCATTGTGCCAGGGCCGGTCTGTTATCTGGGTCACGAGTAATGGTTCCTACTTCGTGATGGCATCACGGCCGTCTGACTTGCAAGTTTACCCGTCATATCATAGCATGTCTTACACGAGTCTAGTACTCACAGTGCCAAGCCACGACGGCAAAACCCGTCGTACCTGAAAAAGGCTCGATTCACAGCCACCATAGCAACCTCGATAGCATGACCAACGCTCAGGCTTGCCGTCTTGGCTGTCGCGTCGGTGCATGTCGGCTCGGTGGTTCGGAATATCGATGATGCCATTCGACTCGTCCCAGTACAAAGCCCAGGTACACAGCGAGTCGTCAACACGACATACAAAGAAGGTCTAAGTCGACAACCTACGGCTATTTCCGCATAAATTCCTTAGCGAATTGCGCAGCCCTACATTTCAAGTCACAACTAGGCCAACCTGGCCAGACACTATAAGATCTACCCACAAATTAGCCTTTCAGCCTCCCGCTGACTTGGAGGCTCCTCGAGTCAGCGATCGTCCTGCAAAGTAGGTACCTCCGATCTCTATTCGATTGTGTCCTTAACTTATAGTTGAGCGGAGTTGCAAGTGCCGAGCCAAGACTCATTTTTGAAATGTTTACTGAGTCAAATTATTATAATTTGTCTTACTTGGTGCTTATCCCGTCGGTTGCATAGGCATAGGATTGCGCAAGACACCTGCTATGTTTCCAGCCATGTAGCCACGCTCATGGCCCCTGTATGTCGCAATGTAGCAGGACTATACTGCAGGTACTTATCATCGCCGGTATTTTGCTGAGGCTGCGAATTTACCTTGGACCTCAAGGTGCCTCTGTTCCTGAATATGACAGCCCTATATTTCACTCCTCGGGGTGTCTCTATATGACGGCTTACTTGGGCGCGGTATAATATTTGCTGGGCTTTGACAGACCAGCGGGGCAGGTCAATACTACGTTCCTTGCATTCATCTCGCTCATTTTCTGCATGATCGAATCGAATCTGGGTCCTCGCCTGTGACGCAAGCGTTCCAGCCCGCGCCTAACCTCCCAAAGCCCACCCTGGCCCTGCCACGCCTCACATCCTGCTTGCCCAAGGCGAATTCGATACGGTTCATTGCCATGGTCGAAGGCGGTAACAATGGCTTGAGGGAAGACGGTCACCCAGAATGACAAAAGTCGGGCGAAAGAGACCGCCCTCGCAGCTGCCGTCGCTGAGCGTGGAAAGGTGGCCAGCCGGGCCGAGAGACTTCATATTGGGGTATTGGGGCTGGCTGTCTTTGGACGAGGATTCGCAACGGTTTTTCCGCCTATTTTCAACCCTGTATACTTTAGGGCACCTCAATATGACAATTCGGAGGCTTCGTATCTCTGCAAACTGCCAGTACCACTGCGACCTTGTTCACCACGGCTATTCTCATTGAAGCAGGTTAAAGGAGGTCAACCTGGGCTCATTCTCGACACGTTTTCGCACCAGTCAGAAAGTGTACTCAATCTCAGGTCTGGGGACCTCCAAGTGGAAATTGCCCTGTCGGTCACTTTTGATGGGATTGGGGCAGTACTAGTGAAACTTTTGAATATGGCAGGCCGGTAGTATATGCGCCTCGATTGCTGTCTTCATTCTTAGTATTAGGGGGAAGGGGTTTGGAGCAAACGCCGTGGAAATGTACATGCTAATCCTGTCCAATTACGAAGTCAGGATTTGTATGACATATTCATCAAGCGACGTTGGGCCTTCTTGTATAATTCCAGCCTATTCATCTTCTCGCACGATACCAAACTCGGCAAACAAGCTCTCGTTATGCTGTCCCACGGCCGGCACCGCATCCAACCTCGTCCCATCTGGGTCGTCTATCCCCGGCGGCAACAACGTCGGCACCCGCCCAGCCGGCGTGTCCATCTCCGCCCATCTGCCTCTTGCGCGCAGCTGCGGATGCTCCCAGACGTCATGCATGTCATTCACCTTGGCGTTGGCGATGCCCGCCGCATCCAGCCTCTCCAGCACCTCTGACGCCGGCAACCCCGCAAACTTGTCACAGATGATGGCCCGCAGCGGCTCGCGGTTCTCGCTGCGCAGCGCGTTGCTGCCGAAGCGCGCGTCCGTGGCCACGGCCTCGTCGCCGAGCACGTCGCGGCAGAGCAGCAGCCACTCGCGCTCATTCTGCACGCCAAACAGCACGGCCGCGCCGCCGCCGCCCGCCGTGGCAAACGGCCCGTACGGGTACACGGTCGCGTGCGTCAGCCCCGTGCGCGGCACGAGCGGCTGCCCGTCCATGGCGTAGTACAGCGGAAAGCCCATCCACTCGACCATGCTCTCCAGCATGGAAATGTCGATGCGCCGGCCGCAGCCCGTGCGGCCGCGCTCGATGAGCGCGGCCAGGATGCTGCTGTACGCGTACATGCCGGCGGCGATGTCGGCGATGGAGATGCCCGCCTTGGCCGGCGCGTCCGGCCCGCCCGTCACCGATACGAAGCCCGCCTCGCTCTGGATCAGCAGGTCGTACGCCTTCTTGTCCCGGTACGGCCCGTGCGCGCCGTACCCGGAGATGTCGCAGACAATCAGGCGCGGGTGCGCGTCGCGCAGGGCCTGGTGCGAGAGCCCCAGGCGGGCCGCCGCGCCGGGCGCGAGGTTCTGCACCAGCACGTCGGCGCGCTGGATAATGGTCCGGGCGGCCGCGAGGTCGCGCGGGCGCTTGAGGTCCAGCGCCAGGCTCTCCTTGGACCGGTTCGTCCAGAGAAAGTGCGACGAGAGGCCGCGGACGCGCGCGTCGTAGTGCCGCGCAAAGTCGCCGACGCCGGGCCGCTCAATCTTGATGACGCGCGCGCCCTGGTCCGCGAGCTGCCGCGTGCAAAAGGGCGCGGCGATGGCTTGCTCGAGGCTCACGACGGTCACGCCGCTGAGCGGAAGCTGCTTCGACGAGGAGGTGCATCGCTGCTGCGTCTGCGATGCGTGGGTGCGGCTTCTTGAGATGGGCGCTCGCGCGACGGCGGTGGCTGACGGCCTCAGCATTCGCGTTCGCAGAGACATGGCTTTTACAACACTTGTAGTCTCACAAAGAATATCACCAATTTGTGGGAAGACTTGTAGAGATAAAGGCTCACCAAGCAATGTAAGTACAAGACGCTGTCGACTCTAGTTACCTTACTCCAGTTGCCGAGGTCTGCAATGGGAGTGGGGCGTGAGCCATACATAGATGTAAAGGCGAGAGCCCGAGAAGGCTATAAGGTGTTACTAATTTCTCTAGTATATTGCTTTCAATAAACCACTGAGTTTCGGTGTGTATGAAGCAATGAAGCTCCATCGCTGCCAATGTCACAATGTCCGAAATCGGGGATAAATGGGGGCAACGACACCATCGACCATCTACGTGGGGGACATCTTCGTCACTACCACGTATCAAAAATATCTCCTTGATTTAGTGTTCACATCATCATATACCTTGATCTCATCGCTATTGTTACCGCTGAAATTACACAACTCCCCTATCAGTGCTCTACCGGCTTCACAATGGGCAAGATTGCAGACATCAAGTACTACAGGGTACCCCCACGCTGGCTCTTTGTCAAAATCACCGACGATGCGGGCAACGTCGGCTGGGGGGAAGCGTCTCTGAAGGGCCATACCCAGGCGGTCGAGGGATGTCTTGATGCCTGGCGCGATCAATATGTCGGACTGGAAGCAAAGTATGCTCTCGGTCACCCTCCTCGTCAGGAATCACGACACTAATACCCGTCGCAGTGACATTGAGCAGATATGGCAGCTTTCATGGCGTAAATCATTTTACCGCGGAGGGCCGGTACTCATGAGTGCGCTCTCCGGATTGGACATTGCCCTCTGGGACCTCAAAGGTACGTCACCAGCTCTTCATATCACACCACCACCACCACCCTCCTGACCCTTTTTCCCGGGCCAGCCCGCAGACTCGGCGTGCCCATCTACGAGCTCCTCGGCGGCAAACTGCGCACCAAGCTGAAAGTATACGCATGGATCGGCGGCGACCGTCCCGCCGCCGTCTCCTCGGCCGCGCTCGCCCGGCAGGCCCAGGGCTTCACGGCGGTCAAGATGAACGCGACGGCGGACCTCGGGTGGCTGGACTCGCCGTCGGCGCTGGACGGCTGCGTGGCGCGTGTGGCGGCGGTGCGCGCGCTGGGCCTCGACGTGGCCGTCGACTTCCACGGGCGCGCGCACCGGCCGATGGCGAAGCAGCTCGCGGCGGCGCTGGCGCCGCTGCGGCCGCTGTTCATCGAGGAGCCGCTGCTGGCGGAGCACGTCGAGGGCGTGCGCGCGCTGGCGGCGCGCACCTCGATCCCGATTGCGCTCGGCGAGCGCCTGCACTCGCGCTGGGACATGAAGCCGTTCCTCGACGCCGCCGCCGCCGGCGGGTGCGTCGACGTGCTGCAGCCCGACGTCTGCCACGTCGGCGGCATCTCGGAGCTGCGCCGCATCGCCGCCATGGCCGAGGCGTACGACGTGCCGCTGGCGCCGCACTGTCCGCTCGGTCCAATCGCCCTGGCCGCGTGTCTGCAGGTGGACGCGGCGATGCCGAATTTCGCCATTCAGGAGATGAGTCTGGGCATACACTACAATGTCGGGGGGTATGACTTGCTGAGCTATATCAAGAACCCCGAGATTTGGACCGTGGAAAATGGGTTTGTGGATTTGATGACGGGACCGGGGCTCGGCATCGAGGTGGACGAGGAGCGCGTCATTGAAGCCAGCAAGAATGCCGAGCCATGGGTCTCGCCTGGCTTCACAGGGCCTGGAGGTGAGCTTCGCGAGTGGTAGCAGTCATTGTGGGGTATAAGTATAATCAATTGTCTAATAATAAAAAAAAGCACGTTGTCATCGCTAAAATAAAAATGTACATGTTCGACCTCGTGCAGTTCATAAGATGCTCGCTTCGCTTACCCAATGGGTGCGCAGGTGAATACACTTCCGACGGTGCCTTCTTTGTAGTTTTTCATCTAGAACGAATTAGTGCTTGCTTTCAGAGCGGTGAGACTGAGTGGACTTACAATGTCAACGATGCTCGAGTACGTGCCGCCGACGAGGACGACAATGCCAACAACAAAGGCTATCAAGTTGAGCACGGCCTTGACGCGGTTGTGGGGAGCCCAGACCGGGCCTTCCTTGATGAGCAGCACCCACATGATGGGAGGGAAGTAGTAGGTGAAGCCCGAGACGAAGAGGGACGAAGAAATCGACAGCAGATCGGAAAAGAAGGGAATGGACTCGGCGATGATAAAGGCAATGACGGTGACGACGGTGATGAGAATCAGCCAAGAGGTCCAGCCCTTGGCCGTGTTGATGTAGCGGGTGACGGAGTCTTTGTAGACGCGGCCGTGGATGTAGCGTCCAACGACGGTGGTGTTGATGGATCCGGAGATGAAGATGACGGGGAGAGCAATGCCAAAGGCAATACGCGATACGGTGTCGCCGGCGGACAGCAGAGCGGGGGACTTGACGTCGGGGCCGACAAAGGCGTAGATCAGGGCACCGGTCAGCGTGTAGATGCTAATCTCAATCAGACCCAGGGCCCAGATGGACTTTTTATAGTCCTTGGGCGTGTGCATCTCGTCCATGAAGGAGAACTGGCAGATGGAGAAGGAGTAGGCAAAGACAATGTTGGTGATGGAGATGAAGGCGTCGGCGAAGCTCAGCCCCTCCTTGGGCCAGGCGGACCAGGGCACGTTGGCCAGGCCGGGCGACTTGGCGGCCTGGACGCCGGTGGCGATGATGGTGAGCCCGATGGCGGCGACAATGGATACAAAGTCAATATACCCGAGAATCGCGACCTCGGCAAACGACGGGGGAATAGCGAGGATGAGCAGGATGATAGCGGACACGCCGCCAAAGACGAGGGAGCAGGTGCCCGTCTTTGCAATGTCGACAATGTTGCCAAAGGCAATGGTGCCGGTGAGGCAGTGGGAGCCGACGAGCAGGACGAGCTGCAGGACAAACATGGCGCCGACGAGCTCGTAGCCGAAGCGGCCGGCGACGAGGCGGCCGGCGTCGGCGTAGTGTGCGGCGTCGGGGAACTTGATCTTGACCTGGCCGACAACGTCGGACGTGTAGATGGCGAGCAGCCCGAGGCCGACGGAGACGATGGTGCCGGCGACCATGCCGAGCGTGGCAAAGGCCTTGGGCAGGCTGAGGGAGCCGAGCGCAATGGCCTCGACGATGAGGATAATGGTCAGCCGCTTCCACCCGAGGCGGTGAAAGTGCGCGCTGCCCTGCGCCGTCTTTTGCTTCTCCAGGTCCGCCCGCGACGGCGTCGTCTCGTCGTACTCGGCCACCTCGCCGTACTGCTCGTCGGCCATGACGCTGTTGTCCTGCGACGAGTCGGGCTGCTTCTTGGACATGGACCGGTCCAGGGCGGCGCCGTGTTGCTTCTCCGGGGTGCCTGCCATGATGGAACGTGTGACAGCAAAGCAAGTGAGTATGTCTGTAGAAAGACTGTGTAAGGAAGGCTTTGTGTATCAAGGATACCGAAAAGGTCTGGGGGGAACTTGGTGAGGTGTGGTTGGTATAAGGCTGACACGGAACCAGGTAAAGGGAGCAAGGAAGGTAGAAAGGAAGAATGGAAGATGGGAAAGACGAAAGAGTGCGGGGGAGGGTCGAGCAGACAATGGGGGACCAAGTGTCGTATTTAAACAGACCGGCCTTGGTCTTGAATAGTTTGGGGAAGAGCAGATGCTTCACGCCAACAATATTCTAGAGTGGGGAGGGGGGGGGTGGTGAGGTGTCAAGGTGTACCAAGTAGTGTGGTGTGTGCAGAAAAGTAATGGCTAGCGCGAAGCAAGTGAGAAGAAGGAAGAATTGTACTTTACAAGACTGGAAATGCAAAATAAATAAGCAAAGGTTAAAAAAAAATAGATGAGAGAAGCCCTAATAACCTGGACACTAGGTGATATTGATGGGTGGGCCAGGTTGGAGCACTGCGTTATCAGCAAGACTGGAACTGCAGTTATCTATTGAATATTTTTTCTTCTTGTCTCCTTCTTTCTACTGCTCAATCATCCGATTCTGTTGCCCATTCTTGCTTCCGGATAACGTTTGCATGATTCGCATACTGCGGCGTTCTCTTAGCGTTGAGCAATGAGCAATGACGGGTCTTTGGGGCCGGGCGCTTGCGGCCCTACTTGTCTCAGCGAGAAAAACAAAAGTTTCGCGCCGAGAACAAGGTATGAAGGGCTAAGCTGCTCTTGTTTTGCTGTTGCCACTGGACGACAACCAAAAAGCCAGATACCCCGGATCTGGGCTGGGCTTTGTCTCGCCCTTGCCTCTCCCCCCGCACACACACAACTGCAGGTACTTGCGAGGATTCTTTTTTTTTCTTTTTTCTTTATTGGCTCCGGTCGTTTCCCCGCGACAAAGGGGATGGCACAGGATGAATTATGGAAACTTTTTCGTAACGCATACTCAGGTCGAGAGGGGGGAGGGGATGCTTGCACCCCGAAAACCCCAAGCAAAGTCCGGCGCACCACACACCTTGCTCCATAACTGGCATTAGTATTATCCAAGTGGCATTGGACAAGATTCAAGCCCATGACCTTGTTGATAGCCCACCTGGAAGAGGAGTATAGTTGGCAATTGTGTGGGCCGCCGGGCCATCCAGAGTGTTGAGAGTCCAACCATCGTGAGGCAAAAAGGGCGAGGGCCCGTTGCAAAGACTGGATACGGGGTTGCAAGTTTAATCTGTTTTTGCAAAATGCCTCGTTTCTTTTTTTTGTGAGGGCCAGTTGTCTCTCTTGTTGCTGTCGCATCGTCAACTTTTGACGTTGCAAGAAACGCCATGAAAAAAATTGCTCTCGGCAGCCGCACTGCCTAGCCGATTCCCGAAGATGGTTTCTAGCACTGGATTATTCCCCGATGCGGCGTTCTGCCAAGATGACTTTGTGGCTTTTTTCGCGTCGGAACGCCGGCCACACACTTGGCTTTGGTGCGACGCGGTGCCCTTTCCCGCCCGCCGCCACGCAGCGCCACCAACTATTTTTTCCTGCACAGAAGACTTTTGGAAGCAGGGCGCCGCCTGGTAGAAGGGGACCGCGCCGTCAAGCGTCATCGAGTATAATAAACTAGTGTAGTTGGAGTGTGCGCCACACGGCATCTCAACTCCGCCCGAGTCACTTTTTTCTGTACTTGGTAAGCCCCCCCGCGACTCCGCTGTGGATTGTGGATTGTCGTCTGCCTCGACAAAGAGGGAACATGGAATATTCCATTTGCCGCGTCTTTATTTGTAAAAGAAGGGGGTTGCATGAAACAGGTCCGATTTATTCTCTCGAGGCCATGTTTCTCTCCACGATGCGACCTGGCGACCTGGGGAAAGCATCGCCGTGGAAGACTTTTGGAAGACCGAGCCCTGGTCACTGACAGAATGACCCGCCCGGCCAACTGCGGGTTCGCTCGGCCCCTAACTACTAAGCCAGGTAGGTAGTAGGTGAGCTGGGCGTACAGTAGAGGCCTTGATGACCGTGATGACGCCGTCGTTGCCAAAGACTGCGCCTTGGTTGACTAGATGGTAGTGTATTATTAATTATTCCCCAAGGAAAATGTCATCATCCAGCCTCTGCTACTCGTCGGCAGCGCCAAAACTACTCTATCGACCTACATATCGACACATATCGACACATCAAGACGGATCAACCCTCGACTCGGAACTAATTCCACAGCGGAACATCTGCGCCACCGCGGCTTTGCCTTGGCAGGGCAGCGACCGAGCCTACCTAGTTAGGTACCTAACATATCCTCGCGCATCGCCCATCACAATGCGGCAATTCCTAATCGTTGCCATGTCTCGGCCACATGGTCACATGGCCCCTTGAAGACTTCATAATACCATCCAGGCGCTATTATGAACCGAGCCCAGGGGATATACCTTGCACAACCATGAGTCGCGCACTCGTTTCCTGCCTCGTTTTTCCTTCCTCCTCGCTCGGGCTCCATCCGGGGCTCTTTTGCGCGTTACAGACGAAACAAAGCCCGCTGGCACGTAGCAACTGGTCATCCTTCTTATTATCACCTGTCCACGCTGGAGACAGACCTCCACGTCGATGATCTGTGGGGTCTCCAGACTTTCTCTCCTCCATTTTGCCTAAACGGTACCTGGCGCCCTCTGCCGAAATTGCGCATGTAACGTATTTCCTCCTTGTATATAGAGTATGGGTACCTCGTACGCGGCGCCGCGAGTCATCGACTCAGCCTCACCTCATTAATCATCATGTCGTATAGCTTGTCTAGCCGGGCACAGTCTACATACAGGGGTCAGCACCTATCCAGCCACTTCCAAGTTCCCTCTGACATGAGTAGGGTCTTCTAGGCAGAAAGCCATTAGTTTGGCACGAACTAGTGCGCGCCCTGGGATCCCGCCTCTTTCGGCTAAACCATCTAGCTCGCCAGCAACGTACCCTTGCGCCAGGCCAAAAATCTTGTCTGGAAATGCGAGTACAATTCTCCATGCTCGCAAGCGGACAGTGGCATGATCTAGTCTACGCGGCTAGAAATGTCTGTACCTGGTCGGTGGTACTTTTGATGCGCCAAACAACTTGCAGAAGGCGCCTTGCAATTTGCGGCTGCGCTAGGTCCGAATCAATCTGCAAACAGCGCTACAGATGAACCACCTACAGACGTCTGGCCCAGCCTTGGGGGATGCAATGACCGGCAGCACCACCCACCTAGAACGGGTGACCTCTTTTGATCGTAAAATTCACAAGCCGAGTGAAAACACAAAAGAACATCTTCTTTTTATTTGTAAGCGCAGTGACGATTCGATGCGCTTATGCTCGCTCCCAGTTCTGCATCTCGCATGCATCACGTGTGACGACCCCGAAGCGATAAGCCTTATCGATGAACTTTTTTCTGCCCCACCACATTTTATCACGAAATCGACATTGTGCGGCATCAAGGTTCCAGAAACGCCAGATTTGTGCACAAAGTGACTTTCCCTACAAACCTGGCATATTTTTCATCTTGCCCCCCTCTACTCGAACTACGTGACCGTCGACTTTCCATCCTTTTCCCTGTTCAACCCCCGCTGGGAGAACGCAGACAACCATGGCCACCCCACCACAGACCCCTCCAAGCGAGGCACCCGCCACAGCAACGCCGACAACGACAATGACCGGCAAGCCCATCCACAGCCTGGTGCTCGACACGGGCCCTCTGATCAAAAACGACCCGACCGTCAGCGCGCTGCTCGCGCAGGCCGAGCAGCTCTACATCCTCCCCTCCGTCCTCCCCGAGATCCGCGACGCCGCCACGCGGACCCGCGTCGAGACGCAGCTGCTGCCGTTTGTCACGGTCCGCGCACCGCACCCCAAGAGTGTTGCCCTGATCCGCGAGTTTGCGCGCAAGACGGGCGACCTGGGCGTCCTGAGCAGGCCCGACATCGAGGTCCTGGCGCTCGGCTACGACCTCGAGTGCGAGCGCAACGGCGGCGACTGGCGCCTGCGCAGCACGCCGGACCAGACGCGCGTCAACGGCAAGCCTCCCCAGAGAGTTGAGACCGCCGAGGCGTTGAAACAGGAGGACGACGTAGCTGCGGACGAGACGGAGACGCCGGTGCCGCAAAGAGCTGAGCCTGCGGAGGCGCCGAAACAGGGATACGTAGCTGCGGACGAGACGGAGGCGCCGGTGGCTGCGATGGAGAAGCTGGATGTTGCTGATTCCGCCAAGCCAGAGGACGCCACCGAAGCCGTCGATGGCGCCGTGAGCGAAGAGACCACAAAGCCAGAGGAGACCCCCGCTGCTGAGGAACCTGTAGTGTACGAGGTAGAAGAGGAGGATGAGGAGGATGGCGAGGCGTCCGACGACGACGGCGGCTGGATCACGCCCTCCAACGTCAAAAAGCACAAATCCCAAGGCAACGGCTCCACGCCGGCGACGAGCCCGCAGCGCACCCTGCAAGCCGCCATCCTGACGTCCGACTTTGCCATGCAAAACGTGGCGCTGCGGATGAACCTGAACCTCGTGACGCCGGCCTTTGCGCGCATCACGCGGCTCAAGACGTGGGTGCTGCGCTGCCACGGCTGCTTCGCCGTCAGCAAGGACATGGAGCGGCAGTTTTGCCCGCGCTGCGGGCAGCCGACGCTGCTCCGCACCAGCACCTCGACCGACGAGCAGGGCCGCGTCCGGCTGCACCTCAAGCGCGCCTTCCAGTGGAACAACCGCGGCAACGTCTACAGCGTGCCCAAGCCCGTCCACGGCACCCCCCACGGCCGCCTGCCCAAGCACGCCGGCGGCGCCAACAACTGGGGCGCACACCTCGTCCTTGCCGAGGACCAGAAGGAGTATTCCCGCGCCGCCGACGCACAGCGCAGGCAGAAGAAGAAGGACCTCATGGATGACGAGTTTCTGCCCGGCATCTTGACGGGAGACCGCGCCGGCGGCGGCAAGATCAAGGTCGGTGCCGGCAGGACGATTAATTCGCGCCGGAGACGTTGAATGCGGGAGATAATGGAAGCAAGAGCAACAAGAATTAGAAACAGGAGAACAATATCAAGCATTATGAATCGGGACGTGGAAAAGTTTTACCAGGGTAAAGGGGTTCTGGAATGGTTGTTTATAGAGCATATTGCAAGCAAATCGCATCATGATGGGAAATCGGATATTTTTACGCACAATGGATTCTAGGACTCTGTCATGGCGGTAACGGTGAATGTTACGCATTTGTTTGTGCTAAATACCCTGACGACGCCAAAAATGTACACGTCTCAGGGGTCCAGACGCCCCGAGCAGCCGATATCAAAAGAAGAAAATATCCCCAAAAACGCCATCCATGAGAGCTAATTTTTTGTTTTGTTTCATGCCTTTAGCTCACATCCTGCTTCGTCCTCCTATTCCAGTCTCATTCCCCCTCGCGAGCATAGCCAAGAAAAAATCTACTGCTCCTCCTCCTCTATCGTGCACGTGGTCAGCATCGGTCAACGCGGCCGCGGGAGGTAAGAAGAAAAAACGCACTCTGCTGGGTCAGGAGCAGGTTGAAGCGACGCTTGAGCGTCACGCGCTGGCGCGACCACTTGTCGTCGGGCGAGAAGCGCGCCGGGTGCGCGCTCTTGGTGACCTGTCCCTGGGCGACCTTTTTGAGGGTGTACAGGCGGTTGCCCTTGTCGTCGACGGTGTACATGAGATGCATCGTGTGTGGGTGTGTGCGGAGGGTAGGAGGTCAAGGTAGGAAGTAAGAATAGATTGAGGTCGAAGTAGATACCCGCAGACACAAATTGGCTCGTGCAAAAGGGGAATTGTCGAGATTGTTGGATAGGCTCGCCAAAAAGTTCGAAAAGAAAAAAAAATGGGTGGCAGAAATTTCGACGGACAGTTTGGGAAAAGAAGTGGGTCGACGCGGCTTATCGATAACGACGAGCTTCCTCCACAGCGACAATCAAGGTCACATCAATTAAAGGCCAAATGGAGTCAAATTCAAATAGCTAATGATAATGTTGCTAGTATGCAGTCGTATATAAAAGAAGGAATTACATAAATACGCTGCTGTAGCCGTTGCGCTGCGCAATCGAACCAATGAGTGGCTCTGGACGAGCCAGAAAAAAGTCATGATAAAATTCGGGAGCCAAGAAAGTAAACGTTGGGAGAGCTGAATCACCTTCCCCATCTCCCCGAGAGAGGAGAAATAAACAATTCAGTCACTCAGGTGCCAGATCGATCTTGGTTCTTGCTTGAAACCCAAGACCAGATACGGCGTCCATCCTTCCACCCCAAGGCCAAGTTACTCCTCCTCTCCAACACGAGCGCCCTTGGGCCCGTTGAAGCCGTCCTTTTCAAAGAAACGGAAAACAAGATTGTAGTCGTCCAGGTCATGCACGATGCGATCAACACGCTTGTACCCGGGCACGGGATCGGCGAGACGCTTGCCCGCGAGGCCGCGAATCTGGTCCGCGCCGGCGCCGTAGGGGTTGGCGCGACGGCCCTTGGCCTCAAAGAGGGTGACGCTGAAGCGACCGGGCTTGAAAATGTCCACTACATGCTCGATAATTTCGGCCGTGGCGCGGCCATTCTGTCCGCCGGGCACGTTGGTCTCAAAAGACGCAAAGGAGAAGCCATCCTCGGGGGTGACGTGCACGGTAAAGTAGTGGCACGCCTTGCTCTCGCCGTCCGCATTGAGGGGAGCGGGCACGACGCCATTGGCGGAAAATCCGCAGGGACTAAAGAGGTAGGCGTCAATGCGGGCATCGGGATAGACCGAGGTGGGATAGACGTTGGCCAATCCGCAGTTTTCAGAGATGACGGTGCCAAGGGCATGACCCTCGGTGGTGAGGGACTCGTCAATCTTGAGTGCCTTGATGTCATCGTGCAAGTCAGAGTCGCTGCCGTTGCTAAACACATCGACTTCGTCCAGCAGCTCAGACGCATCTCCGTTGGTGGTTGAGCAGCAGGCCTTGTTCTCAGCAGCCATCCTATCGCAAGCGACCGCACTCGCGTGCGAAAGGAAGAACTGCTTTGCGTTCTCGGGATCAAGGTCCGTCATGAGAATTTCCAAGGTCTCGTCGACATTTTCGTCGCCGCTCGACTCGACAACGCCAAGTTCGTTGCCATTGGCCTCAATAACCTTCTCATGGGTCTCCGACTGAGGGGTAATGGGCGGGGTGAGCTCCTGGTTGGGAGGAGTGAGATAAAGGTACCAATGATCACCATTCATCTTGCCAACCATGTACGCGCTTCCGTGGCTGAGCATGTCGTCGAGGTACTTGACTTCCTGCTTCCAGCTGCGGTGGGGACCGCGCTGCTTGTCGGGGAAGAGGAAGTTCTTGCGGCTATAAAAGACGCGGTACGGGGTGGCAGCGGCGCGAATATTGTCGACCGAGCTGGCGTTGCTAAAGGGGAAGCCCGCATTGACGGCAGCAATATGAAGCAGGCGCTGGAGACCAAGAAGAAGCGTAGTGGTACCGCATGTCTTGAGGATCAGCTTGTGGGGGAAGACAAACATGCTCGATTCGGAGAGAAGGTAGGCGTCGACCGTGTCGGACTCGAGGACGGAGAGGACTTTGCAGTGAACCATGTCGAGCATGGACTCCCAGGTCTCCTTGTTGACAGCCTTGAGGCCGAGCGGGGAGGCATTGATGGGCAGAGCATCGGCGCTGGGCGCAAACCAAACCTCGAGAAGCTTCTCGGGCCCCTCAAAAGCGTTGCTGGAGTCTAGATCGGCAACGACATCGTGATTGATGGTGAGGTGAGGGGTGGCAGAAGACGGGGAGAAGGTGTAGTTGGTCGGGACCGAGTACTGGACCATGATGGCGGCGGGTTACTGTTGGCCGGTCGGGTTTCTTGGGGGGTAAACGTTGGTGGTTAGATTCTTTGCCCAGATGGCAGAGTCCGCGGAGCACTAGCTGCCGCTCAAACAGACTTTGCGGCGTCTGTTCGAGAGAGTAGGCCCACAGGAAAGTGGTAAATTTCGGGCGCTGGCGGAGCCAGCAGCAATGCGGTCGTGGGAGAGAGAGAGTATTGAAAACGTCACGGCAGGACGTTAGGGGGGTTTGAAGATGGAGTGCTTGAACCTCTTCACGGGAAGAATTGTGGCAAGTAGGCTGCAGTCCGATACCTGTGGGAGAGTATCGGAGCTAGCAGACAGGACGATCTGCTTTTCGAAGGGGCAAGGTGGCGGTGATGCAGCCGGTGAGAGTTTGTACCGAGAGTCGTGCTATCGGGGCCTGCGCGCGGGAACAACCTGTTAGAAAGCCCGGGGAGGGGGAATTGAATACGGCGGGTTCGAGTTTGAGAATTGACATACTTGGATGGTCTGTTGAATAGGAAGCGAAGAGGGTCCGCTGGACGCATAGAAGAGCAGACAGAAAAAACCGGTAGAGTCGAGGACGATGCGACGGGGGGGCGAAGAGTGCCGGCCGTCGGTTTGTCGATGAGCAAGCTCGGGGATGTTTAGCAATGGGCGTGCACCATTGGATTGCACAATGCGAAGCAGAAGAAATGCTTGTTGCCGAAGCGGTCAAAGGAAGCTCGAAAGCAGAACTGGCTTGTCGTCGAGAAGGGGACGGGGGGGGGGAGGGAGGTGATGGTGCAGAGAAGAAAGATTTTTGGCTTCCCCGCGGTGGGCCACAAAACGCGCAGTCTATCGGCGGGAGCGAGGCAGTGTGTGAAAAATTTCTAGGCACGGTAACTAGTTGAGGACCGCAGGAAAGCAGCAAAAGCGTAAACGACGGCGCAGCTGCAGGCGTGCCGTGTGCGTATTGATTTTTTGTGTGTATGTGGTGTTGTTGCTTTCACGGCAATGTCTGGGTGCAAAAGGGAAATCAGGAAATCAGGCACGAGATTGTTGTGTGTGTGTGTCTGATATTTTGGGCTCGTTGGTGGTGGTGGTGACTTTTTTCTTCTCCACTCTCAGGTAGCAGGCGAAAAAAAAGGTTTGAGCTGATGACGGCACAGCCAAACGTTGCAAGCTGACCAGGTCCAGCCAGCCAGAGGTTTTTTTTTTTTTCTTTTTGGCCTTTCTCCTTGTGCCTTTCATCGTATCTGGTGCGAGTGGGCTCATGTCTTGGAACTGCATCGATTGGCGGCACGTCCATCCGGCGTCGGGTAATTTAGTCACGACCTGCAGGTTCTTCACTTATTTGATGCGGCCGTGTGTGTGGACAGGGTCAATGTCTCGGGAAGAGGCTTACTGATGTGCCTCACAGCCGCACCGCCAGCCGGACTGAGTGCATACTTTGTCCATCTATCAAAGAAAAAATCACGCAATGGCAAGTGCCAGCAACCGTCAATTCACTGCAAACATCAAAAAGTCGACGTTGTTTTTTTTTTGTGCGTCTCATTGCCAAGTTGCGTCACCCAGCCCCCGTGTCTGTGCATGCGCCGCATATGGGCATGTCGCACGCGAGCCAGTGAATGTAACCCAACAAACTAGCAGAGCCGACTTGAATGTAGATCTTGGCGGGCTACCCCGTAGTCAAGCTCATGTCTGTGCGAAGGGACAAGCCTATGCTGCGATTTGGAGAAACATGCCCTGTAGTACATGCTGGAGCGTGATACCAGTACGTCAGATGTCATGTCTCATTATTATTGGTTGTCGCTGCACTCCCGCCGTCTATATGTGATGTTATATATTCCAGTTCGCCGTCGTCTCTCATTCGCTCGTCGCCCCCTCTGCCAACCCAGCCGCTATGCCTTTGAATATATGATATAGCGAGCAGTCCTTGTATTTTTCCATCAACGACGCCGCATCGCCACCGCTTCCCTGCTCTGTCGAGATATCGCGCCCATTCACCTGCGTGCCCGCCGGATACTGCGGCCGCCTGCCCTCCTCCACCAAGGTGATGAACTGGGCATCCATGGGCACGGCGCCGAGGAAGGGGACGCGAAACTCGTCGGCCATGGTCTTGCCGCCGCCGGCGCCAAATATATCGGTGCACTCGGAGCAGTGCGGGCACACAAAGCCGCTCATGTTCTCCACGACGCCGAGCACCTGGATGCCCGTCTTGGCGCAAAAGTTGAGCTCCTTGCGCACGTCGGCCGTCGCGACGGCCTGCGGCGTCGTCACCACGACGGCGCCCGACACCTGGCCCGGGCGCGCATCGCGCTGCAGCGTCTCGGCGAGCGAAATGTGCTCGTCCGACGTGCCCGGCGGCGTGTCGATGAGCAGGTAGTCCGTCGCCGGCCACAGCACGTCCTTGAAGAACTGCCGGATCATGGCCGTCTTCTTGGGCCCGCGCCACACCACGGCGTCGCCGCGCTGCGGGAGCAGGAACCCGAGGCTCATGGCGCAGAGGCTGCCGGTCCCGGCCGCGGCGTCGGCCGCCTGCACGCACACGGGCGCCCAGCCGCCGGGCACCTGCGTCACTTTGGAGGACTCGATCGCGAGCATCCGCGGGATCGAGGGGCCCGTCAGGTCAATGTCGAGGATCCCCACCGAGTGCCCGGCGAGCGCGAGCGAGAGGGCGAGCTGTGTCGTGACCGAGGACTTTCCGACGCCTCCTTTGCCGGACAGGACCTGTTTTTGTCAGTAGTGCGTAGCAGCGGAGGAGGAGGCGACGTACCAGCACAATGTGCTGTACATTGTCCAACCCCATGGCGGCGCTGTGGTATGACTGAGGATGAATGCAGGAAGTTCGGTGGCCTCGATTCTAGGATCGCAGCGTTAATATTCCCTGGCGTTGTTGAGGATGTAGAAGTTGCGGCGCAAGGCGAAGATGTTGGTGCTTGATTAGCAAGCAGCGCAGCCCGACAACGGCATCCAAATATTTTGCCCCGCCAAACCGGCAGCCCACTTGCCCACCAAACGACCCCGCCATGCCACCACCACTCAAGTGCCTTCATTTCTCAGCATCCCATATGTTCATCTCGCAGCCCCCAAGTCAGCCCAATCTTGGCGCGAGGAACTATAATAGCGACACACAACGTTCAGAAAACGCCAACTATATGCCGCTTGTTTGGCGCTGTTCTGTGTGCGCGTACCCTACAGCAGGTCACGAATTAAAAAAAATGCTTCTTGTCCTAGCGGCCGTGTCGTGGCATTCAAAATCTATTCGTTACATATCTATTTGTTATTTTTCCAGTGTCTCCTGGCTGCTGGTCTGTCTGTGCCTTTGATATTTCGGCAGTTTCTTGATCGTCTGTTAAGAAGCGAATCGAGTCTCTCTGATAAGATACCAGGATGCTGTTGCTACCACAGCGGCCTAATAGCTCACCGCCCGCTGGAACATCGTCACCGTCACTATTTGTGAACCGTACTATCGGGCCTCCTTCCACCGTGAATCCAATAAATTCCCCTCTTATGGTTTCGTCTATTGATTCGCGGGAGCTGGGTCCAATGGTGTTGCTGTTTCTGTTGTTAGCGCTTGATGCGTACACTGTTGGTTGGTACGTACACTCTGCTCATGGGTGGTTGTGTTTCTTCTTCATCAGTCGGCTTTTTGCACAGCTTCTTTACTCGGGCTCTCGTGCTGTAAAAGCACATGTGCAGTAGCCCTGCAATGACAAGGACTGGTGTGCCCAGCGCCAGTGCCCACGGCCTATCATGTGTCAGCGGTGTCATGTCGTGATGAGTATCGGGCTGCTCACGGGTGACGCTTGTTGCGCAGCGTGTGAATCATGGCTAGAATGACGCCCATGATGGCGATGAGTGACCCGACCTGGATCATGGTCCATGTCGACCAGTAGAGAGACATGAGGTCCTCACCGTCGCAGAACTGTAGAGCTAACAAGGCGTATGCTTCCATGATGACGATGACTGTCGATGCGGCAACACAGAGCGAACATACGACGATACATAGTCGAAGTCGCTTTCGCAGCTTGCTAGGGTGGTCTGCATATGCTGACAGGGCTTCCTGTGCTCTGAAGACGGTCAGTAGCGGTTTCAAGCCGACGGGGAGGCTACTCACTTGATGTAGGCAAAGGATCCAAAGAACAAGAAGAGTAGATTTGAGATGAAGAGCGTCCAGTATATGACCTTGAACTGCCAGAGATCGAGGTGTGATGCAAATTGTGCATACTTGAGGCAGTTGGGCGAGTCTGGGCCAACAGCATCCATGATGTATCGGTACTTGGTTGAGACTACGCTCTGACCTGCATAGAGGTAACGGTACTGAATAATGATGGATATGAAAATCACGCCACGGAAATGACTTGCCAGATTGGAAGACAGATGGTGGCAGTATTATAGACCCCCGGCAGTCAAGAGTTGAGCGTGTATCAAACACTCGACAACTCTGTGACGCCCAAACAGGGGAGAGTGAGGACTTATGTGCCCAATGCCAAGACTTTTGCATGGTTTTGCGATTCCACAGTCGTATCTGTGCTGAGACATTGTGTTGGTGCAGGCTTGCGTACACTTTGTAATCTCCACCAAAAAACATTAAGCTTATCTCTAATGCTTCTTGTGCAGCGTTTGACAGCCCCCCCCCCCTTGTCCTCCCGTGAGTCACGTTCCTACATGTCTCGCGGTGCAAACCGGAAGCGGATCTGCAAGGCTAGAAGAAGAGGAATTCTGGAGAGCTGAGCAGAGGAAGAGAAGAAGGGAAGAAGAGCAAGCGCATTTGCCGAAAACGTCAGCAACCCGCAGGGCATCACAGAACCCGGCTTGGCGGGATGGAGGCGGCTGATGGAGCCAAATCTCAGCCCTCCGGCAGCGATGCGCAGATCCAATCCAGCCGTCCACGGGGTGGCGCGAAAGACGTGCCCCCAGTGGTCCCGACTGCCAACCCTTGGCAAATCGCCGCGCCACAGGACCCAAGATACACACATGTCCAGCGAGACCAAAGGGGTGCGGGCGGGACAAGAAAAAGAAGACGAATGGCGAATGGCGAATGGCGAATGGCGAGTTGGTTGCTGCGCCTTGTTGCCAAGAGCGCGACCGGTGTAAGTGACCCGCCGCCACGACCAACCCAAGGCGCAAATACTCGCCCGCAGCCTGGTGAGAGGGGGGATCCATGTCCATGTTCTGACAAAGAAAGTAGTAAAAGAAAAAAAAGAAAAAAAAAAGGTGCTATTGACTGGCGTTTGGGAAAGAAAAATGGATGGGCGATCAACGTAGCGAAACGGTTGAAACGGGTTTGGAGGGGCAGTAGCAAGTTCCTAAAAATAAGAGGCGTGGAAAAGTACATACGGATACAGGGAACGCACGTCCATGCAGGGCTCGCCTTGTCTGGTTGCCGAATTACTTTAAAAATTAAGCTTGAAACATGACGTTATCGCACACTGCAGATCCTAGTCTGGATGGGAAAGGATGTGTTTGTGTCAGTGCCCAAGCGGCTGTGTATGTGTGTGTGTGTGTGTGTGTGTGTGTGAGACGGCAGCGAACCGGAACAAGCTGGAAAGATGCAGCCCTTTGTGGTTACTTAATTATTAACGAGAGGAACGACGTCGAGGGCCACAGGCTATCAACGAGACGTGCTTCGGCTTGGCGGTGACGATCGAAGGAACAAAAAAAAAGCCCAGCGCCAAAATCAACCCGATAGACCGACCGATGGCTGTGGCGTTTTTCTCTGCGCCCCTCAACAGAGCCCCCTTTCACACCTTTTCAAGCTTTCTTTGTGTGACTGGGCGATTTCTTGTCGCGAGCCAATCACACGTGCATTCTCGGCGAGCCAACTGCATAATACCGCCGGCGGGAGGACTATCCCGTTGATGCTGACTCGTGCGGGCCAGACGTGGCTTCGTCGATATGAAATCAGCAATGGGAGGTGGACGATCAGAGAATGGAAGCAAATGTTCCCGAGATAAATCAACATGCATACATAACTCAACAACTCAACTAGTTAACTAACTGACAGATCAAAACTAAGATAACGGACTTTTAGTCATGCGCTAAATCGAACTTGTTGCAACTGGCTAGCCTATCGTGGTAGCAGCGGCAAGCCACCAAAGCACTAACGCTAAACTTTCTTCACCTCCCCTCCGCAACGGCAAGACTCCATCCAAGCCAAAGAACATGGCGGGGAAGAAAAATAAAAGCGTTGCACAGTCCCAGAGATCAGAAACACATGTATGGGCCCCCCGTCGAGACCATAACCTTGTTCCTTCTTCTCATCCTTCTCCATGTTTTGGCGGGGGGGCTCCGGGTGGCTCCGGGTACTGGCCGCGGCAAAAAAAAAAAACTGACTCAAGAAATGACAATTCTGTCTTGCGGGGGAGAGAGAATCTTGTCGCTGTCGATTTAGCCCCAGAACCTGTTTTTTTTTCTTCTTTTTCTTGTTTTTTTGTTAAATTCATTAACTTGAGGCATTTATTTCATCATGCGGGATGGCGACTGTCATTACCCAGTCCCAGACCCGACCTGGACCGCGGAGCGTTCTTGCATGCATAGGCGCGTGGCCCCGCGGGAGGCCTGTGTCAGTGCTGAAAAAAAAATCTGGGCTTGGCTCTGGTGGACAGAATCTGGGGTTGGGAGGATAGATCAGACAATAGATTTGAAACTCGAATCACAAAAGTTCTCTGTGCGCTCGGGGTCTGGCTTTGATGCGAAAGTGCTCGAGACCAACGGCCATGCGCATGCAAGGCAAGTCATCGAACGATGGAGCGTGGCCAAAACCCAACAGAATATCTAAAGAACGTGCCCCTTTTCCGGCTCCTGCAGGGCACCATGTGCGCCTGAATTAGCGTTTTGCGATTAATAATAGAGCATGCTGCTGAATCCTGAGATAAATTGCGTCAAGGCCCTGTCTGGTTGGTTGCTTTTGGTCCCAGTCTGGGGCTCTGTCATGCTCACGACGGGCGGGTAGATCTACCATCCGCCCGCTTACTCTCTCCTCCAAAGTCGAGAACGTGGTTGAGCAGGTTGTGAAGAAAACGTGGCGTTTTCCAGAACAAAGCCCAGCAGGCCTTTGTAGACCGCATCCTCGCTCTGGTCCTGGAGCCACTTGTCCGGAGGAACTTGTGCTGCATCGCCGACTGACCCAGAGCTCGCATTGTCTCCGTACGCGTAAAACAGAGCCATATGCACTGCATCTGTCATTATCTGAGATCTAGACTCTGTTGATCTCTGTGAGGGATTTACCACGCCTGAGTAAGACTTGGGGGTAGCCGCCGGGCTCCGACGGGGAAGCAGACAGACTCTGAGTCGCAAGTTGGATGGCAAAGTTGACGATGGAAACTGATAAGATTTGGAACAGGGAAGACGTAGGAAACTCTGACGATACGCTACATACCATCTATTTCTAACCTTCATGTTGCTCTACGGGGTTAGTTAGGGTTACTTGTTGAAATCAACTTCTCTTAGTGCCAGTGATCTCGCTTCTCTTACTACCAGTGATCTCGAGTCCCTCAAGACATTGCACAGAAAATGGCATGCTTCCGACAATGAAATTGAACGGCGTTTCTACTCGAGGTGTGAAAGAAATTGCTTCTGATTGTTGGCTAACTCGATGTTCACTGCTAGCACAACCTCCAAATAGCCTCGACCGGTCCTACAACGAACTGAACATTCACCAGTATAGTCGTTGTCTCTGACTGCATTCGAAATTAGTGGTTTTCTTACCGGAGGAAACTCCAGAGTGTCTTGAAATTCATACCATTTCTTCAGCACATCACACGACTAATCGATGCTACAGGCGAAGTCTTTCTTTGTAGGCACCCAATCGTTACCCCTTCAAGTCCTGAAGTTGCGATATTGAAAAGCAACAATCAATACTGACAAATCAGCATGCCTTGACTCCTTTTTTTTTTTTTTCAGATGCGAGGAGGTCGATTCGTCGGGAGACTGTGTCTAACTGGTGTCTCGCCCTTACTAGTGAGCCTCTGCCCAATATAGCATCACTCACCCATCAACCGGATCGGAGACATGGTCCATGTTTGAGATGCCAGACAGTTTCGTGACGTTCCTGTCTTGTAAAGCTGCAATACATATTCAGTAAGTCATGTATGGTCGGTCACTGTTATGCACTGGCGCGGATAAAGTGGACTTGGGCTTGCTTATTGCATCTAAATCTGGTGGAAAATCCCACTCCAACTCTTGGCGGTTCCACCGAAGCCGAAGAGACGCGCGCCGCACCCGTCACAATTTCGTCTCGTAACATTGTGATTCCCATATGACGACTTGTGGATACATCGGGGCCAAAACACCCCCAGATACAGGAATGGAGAAGAAGAAGAAGACGAAGAGGAAACCGTCATCTTCCCATTCCGCGGTTGCGGTCGCTGCCGCACCAACAACCCCGGCATTGATGGAGCCCGTCGCCAACTTGTTTCGCAACAACAATGTCTGGGATGAAACGAGCCGCCGGCGGACGATGGACTAGACGCCACATCTGACACGGTTCGAGCGTGAAAATCGTGTTTAACATCTCTTTGAGCACCGAGCCGAAACAAATTTGACTCGGCTGTGGCCCAAGGGCAACTAGTCATGCGCTCGTGTCCTAATTTGGGAACCCCCCCCCCCGCCTCTATTCGACAATGACTGGCGCCCAGTCTTTCAGTAGATGCACAAACGTACGATTCCACGCATGTCGTGGGACAACAACTTGTTCATCATGGTTCGGCGCGGCTGCATAGGACAATAAAATATCGGACGATCTAGTGGCGGTCATCTGCCCGTTCATTCTGCTTAAAGACGATTTTGTGGCGGCCTGGTGGTGGGTTAGTCGGGTTGCAAGGCTGACTTGGAGGTTATAGTACGAATGGATGAACCGCCGCAACCCTATAGTACAGCTTCCCAGGTTGAAGTATAATACTACCGTTTCCCGCCTATTCTCGCTTCTTCGCACTGTTCATGGTCAGCCCGTGCTATATCTGCCAGCCAACTATAGTCGACATTTTTCTCTGCTGATGAATCTGTGCCGCAGCGCCAAGCTTCTCGTGCGAGGTCCTGCCGAGCACGGCTTCCCGCGTCCACTTCCCAACCAGGGTCGCGCCGCGAGTCCCCCGTGCCGTGAATCAGATTTTTTCTCGTCATCGGGCCGCCATTTTTTTCATGGGTCTTGCTCCATTTACCTCGGGCCCGGGTCAAATAGGAACGAGAAAAAACAAGGGAAGGGGGAATGCCGCCCCCGTCCGGGTTTGCCAGTGGAGCAAATCTAGATGAAAACTTGCATCGCGAATATAAACAGCTCGTCCAGGCCCTCTATTTCGTTTGATTTTTTTTTCTTTTTTTTTTCTGGCGCTGCGCGGTCCCCCGCCACCGTGCAGATGTCACGCTGCGTGACAGCCGCCGACGAAGAACGGGACGCGCAGCGCGCCAGCCGGCTTCCGCGGGCCTTTTTCAACCTGCATTGCCCAGGCGTGCATGCATGCATCGCGAGCCTAGAGGCTCGCAGTGATCTACGCGGCTAAGAAAAGCACAAGGACCGCAGAGGGCCGGACCAGACAGCACGGCCAGTCATGCAGCGTCACATCGAACTGGTCGTGGTCCAATATGCTACACAGCGTCGCGCTCGGAATTTACGTCGGAAACAGGAAAAGCAAAAAGATGGGGAAAAGAGGAAACAACCAATTGGCCTTTTCCAGTTTGGCCAAAAATGCGGGCAAACAGTTTGGGCGACCCGATACCAACGGCCCGGAATAATGGCCCGTCGGTTGAAATCAATTTTAGCAGAATCGCGGGGGGACACCTCTGGTCTCTTTCCCGCCTGTCCCCCACCAGAGCTTCCTTCAACCCCCCCGCCGCGGGCCCTGCAACCCGCCGGGCATTAAAATGCCAATGGGCAAGGGCATTCATGATGAATGGAACCCTGGTGGGAAATCTCGCTCTGTCTTTGTCCCGAATGACATTACGTCGTGGATTGTGCGCCGCAAAAGCGCCCAAAAAAAAAAAACCGTTATGCGGCTCCGCCTGATTTACCATCGGGTCTACTCTGGAGAGCTGTCATCGACGCGACGGCCAATTTCGTTTTTTTAAAGTCGGCCACCCCTCGCATTGCCACTGATGTGTCCTTTTCTTTCCGGATATCCTCTCACAAAACCGTCATGTCAAGCTCGTCCCCGCCAGTGGCCACCGACTCGATACACAAGGCCACATATCACAAGCTATCAGCCGCCACAGCGACCACCAGCCTTTTGACCCTGTCCTTCAGCATGCCTTCTGCGCTGGCCAGAATCCGTCACTCCTGGATGCGAATGAAGACGCCGCCCACAGCTACAACCAAAGAAACCCGCGTCTCGTCCGACTCGGCGTGCACCGTGCCCACCGCCGCCGCCGCCGCGACGCAGCAGCCCACACAACAGGCCGCGCAGCCGCAGCAGCCTCTCCGCGGCCGCGTCTTTGCCGTCACGGGCGGCGCCAGCGGCATCGGCCTCGCGACGGCCCGGCTGCTCCTGCAGCGCGGCGCCACCGTGTGCGTCGCCGACGTCGACCCGCACGCGCTCAAAGCCGCCGCCGCGTACTTTGCGGACCGAGGGAAGCAGTGCGACGTGGAGCGCGTCGACGTGTCGCGGCGCGCGCAGGTCGACGCCTGGATCGCCGGCATCGTCGCCAGGCACGGGCGGCTCGACGGCGCGGCCAACGTGGCTGGCGTGATTGGCAAGTGCCACGGCGTGGCGCCGGTGGCGGAGCTCGAGGACGAGGACTGGGACGCCATCATCGCGGTCAACCTCACGGGCACCATGTACTGCATGCGGGCGCAGCTGCGGAACATTGAGCGCGGCGGATCTATTGTCAATGTGTCCTCGATTCACGGACTCAAGGGTGTGTTGCTCCTCGCTGCTAGGAAGGAAAGAAAAACCCCCATAGGTAGCTAACACGAGAGAGAACACTAGGCTTCGCAAAACATGCCGCCTACGACGCCAGCAAGCACGGCATCGTCGGGCTGACCAGAGCCGCGGCGCTGGAGAATGGCGACCGCGAGGTCCGCGTCAACAGCGTCGCGCCCGGCGCCATCTACACGCCGCTCATGCAGAAGAACTGGGACGGCCACCGGCGCCCGGCCGACGCGCCCTTTGACGAGCCGACGGCGTTTCAGCGCCAGGGCACGGCTGAGGAGACGGCGAGCGTCATCTGCTTCCTCCTCGGGCCCGAGAGCACGTTTGTGAGCGGCAGCGTCTACCAGGTGGACGGTGCGTGGATCTAGGGTGCTGCGAGGACCAACGGGAACAGGGAGAGGGCATGTTTTTTTTTCTGCATACTGGGCGTAAAATACTGCATATAGTTGGGGTGGGTGCGCTGCATTTTGAAGCGTCGAGAATGATTTTGACAGGGCAAGGTAGAGTAGTCTTGCATAACGATGAAACGGTCGTATATCTATCAGCAAAGGGCGACTAGGAGCCGCTTCATTTAGATTGGGAAAAGACTACATATGCGTGATACTCAAGACGTTACCATGGCACGCAATTTGTCATGTCGCGCAGTCGTTCTTCATCTCCGCCACGAAAAAGGCCGCCGACCGGCATGTTTCGCCGTTCAGGCACACATGTAAGCTGCTCTATCATCAAATGTGCAGCAGATGAACAGGATAATCTTTACGCGTATTTGCAAGCATTAGGCTACATATGTCCGCTCTTTGGATATCCGACAATATGGCGTTCTCTCACGCGCTGTCTCTCTCTCTCTCCCTTTGTACTCCGCTGGGAAGCAAAATCAAACCGACCAGGTCTTAGGACCCGTGAAGCGCCATTTACACGATAACAAGCCATCTCAAGCCATCCAAACCGCCAAACGACAGTCGCTGCAGACACACGCCCTCGTGCCGATGCCTGCTCGCCGCCATGGAACAAGTCCAGGCCCTGATTCTGGCAGGCAAACATCATTCTGCATGATGGTCGGTTGATTGCGACCGAGTTTTCCGCCACTGCTTCTGCCCACCACCAGCCATGCGCTCTTGGGTGCATTGCCCGTCCGAATGCGCTCAAGGCGGGGACCGCTTCTACTCTTCCCATTGTCTTGTGAGCGCCCGCTCTCCACCTCTTCAAGGAAGCTTGCGTAATACCGGGCGAGGTGGCTAGCCATATTATGCGCCGCGGGCATACACGTGGATGCCGTCGCTTTTGACATAACCGCGTGTGCAGCTGCTCTGCGTTCTCAATCTGGGCATCCGTGGCGTGGGGGGCTGTGGGAATATGCACGACGATGCTCTGGTAACAAAGACGTTGCCCTGATAACAAAGGCATTACCCCAATAATAATTATAAAGACGTCGCTTTGATAAGGCAAGTTCTCGCATAAGCCCCAGCGATTGGTGAACACTGGCCGCCGTGCCAAACTACTTAGGAGGAGGGCCGCTTGCCTGCAGCGCCAAATTGTGATTGTTCTTTGAGATCTGTTTGGACGGATACGGTGAAGTACTGCCTCGCGGTGGGCCATCCTGAAATGCGATTACGTTGCCGATCCTGGACAATCTGGTATCTGACCGTCATTGGGGTTGGCGTCGGTCTTTCGCAGCCACCGCCAACAAGCTTTGCCAAGATCGGCCCATGGCTCTCCCTCTACAATTTGCAGCTCGCCGTATGGGTGACACATGAACACTTTTGCATAGCTCTTGCGTCGTTTTGGTGTTTCTGGTGTATTTTCGGGGAAGACTGGTTCGCCATGGTCTCGATCTATATAAAGGTCGTAGGCCATGCGTGCTTGCGCTCCTTGGTCACTCTGTGCCCAAGGTTTGTCCACTTGCCAGGGACTCTGAACAGAGCCAGTGGCAGGATAGAGGTGGCTCCCTGTCATTTCGATTTAACTCGAACTGTGATTATATCCACGGATTTTAGACACAAAACGCAAGTAACACGACGCGGATGAAATGTGTCCTAGATGAATTCCGTAAAAGTCCCTAGGTGCGATACCTAGTGAGCATCGATTGTATACTTGAGATCACGGGGTATAGACTATGGCGCCTTTTGTCACCTACATTTCCGTCGCTCTTCGCAAGGTCTCTTACCACGATGAAAACGTCTAGACTAATAGGGCGGTATAATTGGAGGTATGGAAGTTCACGTACCCTACACCGAACATGGCACCAAAACTCCCACACCGACACGTATGGTTTGATCATCTCCTCGCCTGGCCATTAATATGAGGCTGGGATTCCCCTCCGAAATAGACGTCCTCATGAAATACATTGCCAAGAATAAAAACATAAACCAGTATATAATAAGCGCATGATTCCTTAATATAATAGAAATAGATAATATAGATGAGCTAGAGAAATTTATTAATAAGACTCTGCATAAGATTATATTAAGTCTGCTAGTATTTTATTTATTTTTAGACCTACTCTCTTAGTATATAACTCCTCTTTAGGTTATTAGTGACTCCTTTTGAACTGTGTGCCCGGCGATTTTGGGAACAACCAACAAGTGGTAATTGCTATACAGACCCTGTCACAAATTAACTACACCCCGGCGTATCCAACAGGGTTTAGGCGCCCTACACAAACCGCTTACATTAATTCCCGAAAACGACAATCGTTCAAATCACAAAACCCTCGCAGATTCGCTGGTTGCATTTCCCACTCCAATCCAGAAAACCGCCCTTTGAACAAGCAAGTCACCATGAACACCACTGTTATCCACCTTCGATCCGAGTCCAAGCCGCTGGAGCGGCGTTCTCCCAGTACGATTCTTTTAATTAATTAAGTTCTGCTATTCCGCTCCGCATTGTGGCTCCAACCCCCCAGATTTTCAGTTTGCTAATTGGCATGCCTCTTAGTTTCCCCGGCCTCCGCCAAGGCCCTGCTCGAAGCCGGCTATGCTGTCCATGTCGAGAAGAGCCCTGGACGAATCTACAAGGACGAGGAGTTCGAGACAGTAGGTGCCAAGATGGTGCCGGAGGGCTCGTGGCCTACTGTCCCAGAGGACCATATCATTGCCGGCCTGAAGGAGCTTCCTGACGATGGTAGTACGTATCTGCACACATGTGCGTATTCTTGCTGGCCGCCCTGACGTTTCTCTCTAGGCAGCTTACCCCATTCGCACATACAGTTCGGACACTGCTACAAGCAGCAAGACGGTTGGGCTGAGTACCTTGCCAGGTTCGCCCGCGGCGGTGGCATACTCTACGACATTGAGTTTCTGAAGGGCGAGGACGGAGTCCGAGTCGCTGCCTTTGGATACTGGGCTGGATATGCGGGCGCTGCTGTCGCTCTCTTGGCTTGGTCTCACCAAGTGCAGCGGCCGGGTGTCCCTCTCGGCGCTGTGCCACTCTACAGCTCTGCTGCTGCCATGGTAGACGACGTCAAGGCGAAGGTTTCAGACGCCCTGCGCACTGTAGGCGACTTTCCCCAGATCATCGTCATCGGGTCGCTTGGTCGATGCGGACGCGGCGCCATTGATCTCTGCCTGGCCGCTGGGATTCCGCCCTCCACGCTTCTGAAGTGGGACATGGCAGAGACGGCCAAAGGCGGCCCGTTCAAGGAGATAACGGACTCGGACATCTTCATCAACTGTGTCTACCTGGGCTCGAAGGTCATACCACCCTTCACTACTCTTGAGTCACTCTCGAAGCCAGGCCGACGTCTTCGCGTTCTCTGCGACGTGAGCCTGGACCCGAATAACCCCAACAATCCTGTGCCCGTCTACTCAAGCTACAGCAGCTTCAAGGAGCCTACACTCAAGGTCCCGGTCCAGGGCGACGGACCCGACCTGACAGTCGTCAGTATTGACCACCTCCCGTCTCTAGTTGCTCGTGAGGCTAGTGATGAGTTCTCGGGTCTGCTGCTGCCGAGCCTACTCACACTGAACCGCCGCAAAACCGAGGGGGTCTGGACGGGAGCAGAGAAGCTGTATCACCAAAAGGTCCAGGAGATTCCAAGCAGTGTTTTGAACTGATAGGCGGAGCTGCCTTACCGACTCTATCGGCGGTAGTAAGTCTGCGGTAAGACTGAAAGGAAGTAGGCACAACCAGCAATTAAAAAATAGGCACAATTTAGTCTTAGAAATGCCATTATTGAATTCTGTATCTCCTACGGCGGTATAAAAGGGGGCGCGCGCCCGGTGTGGCCTCAGGTTAGGTCTAGCCCGGAGTGGGGCTCGAGCCCGACTCCTTCACAAGTATTACTGCTATAGCTATCGAAATAAAATACCATTATTGGAACTAGTATATAGATTAGTATATAGGAGCGATTAGCAAGGCCTGGCAGATGTAGAGCTAGTATAAGGACTACGCTATAGGGACTACTATTAAAGGATGCTTTACAAATTAGAGATGGAAATAACATCGTGGTGACCCGGCTGGATCTTCGCCCGTGATGCATGATAAAAACGGGGCAGCCTTGGGACGGAGCACATTCCGACGAAGCTGGTTGGCGGTTTCCAACAGGGGCATCGTACCACGTTGCCATCAATATTCGACTTGTCGTTTTTTTTTGCTTCAATGTCGTCGTCAAGATCGCCCACGACCTCCCGCTGACCAGGAAATGTGCCGACTTGAGACACTGTCGTCGAAGCCGGCGAAATACCCAAACATCAGAAGATGCCTCTGTACGAAACGCAACGGGCGCCGCATAGGCGGGACTGACTTGGTACGCGGGGTCACTCGAGGCTGTCCCCGGAGAAGGTACCATAACATGGATAGTGTATTTGCAAGTCTGAGACGGATTCCGCGGGCTGTGAAAGATGCGGCCGCTGCAGAGTCTCCACGTGACTTTATCGGCTTGGTGGCGGCCTGTGGGAGCTGCTGCAGGTCTCCGACATGAGAAACCGTGACAAGGCTAGGGCGAGCTCCCATGTAATCTGCCATCGCGACTATTACAGGTCCCCCTGTTACCACTGCCATTATCAACCACGCCGTTGCATCGAGTATTTCGGCCAGCGATGAGTGACAACGAGCCGCGGCCCTCTTGGCCGACGCTGCGCCCAGCTGCGTCTCGCCCAAACTCGTTGGCTCTCGAGACAGAGCCGCCGCAGAAAGGCTGGCCTCTGGTGAACAAGTTGCCGCGAAAGAGTGTCGCCGTCGCAGCCTGCGAATCGTGCCGCCAACGTAAAGTAAAGGTATACAAATATCGCTAGCGTTTACCCTCCCTCATCCTGGCCACTAGTCGACCACGCGTTGCTGGCTAGCTTGTACTCAAAGTCGATTTTCTCAGCAACGAGAGGGTGTACTGGATAGAAAAGAACACTAACAGCGGTCATCAGTGCAACGCCCAACGTCCATCGTGCGCGGCTTGCCAGAAGCGAAACCTCCGCTGTCGGTACGACGCCGCCCCCTCGGAGACGCCGGGGCAAGCGCTCAAGAGAAAGTATACCCAGCTGCAGGATAGATCGTCCTCGTCTGCCGCCCACAAGGTCTTTAATATTCTGCAGATGCGGTCCGAAGAGGAGGCCCTCCAGATCTTCCATCGCATACGGTGTGGTGCGGACCCCGAATCAATACTGCGCCTTGTCCAAAACGCAGACGTAATGATGGATCTATCTGTGGCGCCAGAGACGAGGTTGCGCTATGAATTTCCTTGGATCACCTCCATGCCGCAGTATCTCTGCGCTGCCACCAACGTATATCTGCAGTCGCCCATATACAACTTTGCTTTGGACGACGAGGGCAACCAGCAGCTGCGCACGCCTTCTCCTTCCTCTGACGACCAGGATCAACAGCACTCGCTATTCCTCCGGCCATACCACGCCGCGACCATCATCGACCCGAGACTCAACCAGATCAAGCCCTCCGAGTGGACTAGAGTCTCGCAAGATGACGGTCTGATGCGAAAAATGCTGCAACATTTCTTCATGTACGAATACCAGTGGCACACCAGTTTTCAGAAAGATTACTTCTTGGACGACATGGTTTCAGGTAAACGGGAGTTTTGCTCGCCTCTGCTCGTGAACTCGATTCTGGCCCATGCTTGCGTAAGTGCATCCAATCTCACAGAGGCGGGAATAAATATTTGTTCTTACAAACAAGCAGCACAGTTCAAATCGGACTGAGTATTGGGAAACCGACACGTTGGCAAAACAGTTTATAAGCGAAGCCAAACGTTTGTGGGCCGAGGAGACTGGCATAAACAGATTGACAACTGTGCAAGCTGGGCCACTCCTGTACCTCGCCTACGCCATTTGCTTGGAAGATAAAATTGGAAAATCGTACTTGATTCAGTCGGTGGCTATGGCGCAAGATCTGGGGATCTTCAAGCTCAATGGCAGTCGCGTGGGTGGCAGGGCCCAGGACGCCAGAGATTTTACTGCGTGGGCTATTTATTGCACCCAGATGTGAGTATCCTTGCTCCAGTACTCACGCCCGCTCGTCTTACAGTGATACAGTCACAACCAGTGGTATTTCCAAGATGCACCACTGATGGATCGAAGACCCGAGGTTCATTTGCCCGACCCAACTGATAATCAGTATTGGTACGGGGAGATTTGGCTAAAGTATCCTTCAAGCGACAGGCTTCATGCTTGCCAGTTTGGCGACTCGTTCCGCGCTCGTACCAATCTAAGCTTCATCCTAGAAGATATTTTGTGGAAACACTTCTCCAATCCAGACGAAAAACCAATGTTTTCTATTCGTCAGATCGCAAGCTACCACAGGAAATTGGAGCAGTGGTACAACGACCTCCCGGAGCCACTAACACCCAGCAGAGCTCTTTTCCCAGTGCACCTAAAACTCCAGTGAGTAAAGCTTGCCTGTGCGGGAAATAGCGGCTAATATATTATGATAGCATGCATTATTATAACACGGTCATCCGGCTGATGACGGCTGCCGTCAATCTGGGAGAGCGGTCCATTTGCGCGGACCTGGACGGGTGGACTGCGAAAAGCACATCTCAGGAGCTGCTATCGGAGGCGGCCATCTTGCTGGAGACGGTGGTGCGACTGTACTATCTTCGCCACAGCTTCGAGCGGCTGGATACCTTCTTGGTCCAGCCGCTGATGGAACTGTCCAACCTTCGTCAGGCAGACGCTGCGACGAACCATGTACTCGACAAAGAGTCGGTGTGGTCCACCGTGGTTCTCTGTGCGCAAGGGTTCCGCGACCAAGGACACAGCCACTACCTGGGGCAGATACTGTTCCAAATGACGAGGAACAGCGTCGCTCCCGAGATTCAGACGGTAATTGACAAGTATCTCTACCCAGGCCCGCAGGCGGACGCTCCGCTCTTGCCCAGCGACGCACAGTCCGATTGGCCGGCTACTATTATTAGTGTCCAGGACGACGCAAAACACCACCGGCTCAGTGTTGTTCTGCAGCGGTTAGAAGGCGCGGCCGCGGCCAATGCGACGTCGTAGGGTTTGGCGCCGGCATTCTTTGACCACGGCTAGAGAGTATAAACGAGTGATACAACGTCTTTTCTCGAACCGCGGCTCCTGTGTGGTGTGACATGTTTGGTTAAAAAGTATACATGCGAATAAGGGCAGACAAGACCTATCTAATATGAAGGCCATGATAGCAGATGCCTCAGCAAAGTCATCCGTGCCGCCACTGAAACGCTCAACGGATAGCGACGACTCGGTTCGTTATGGAACGTACAGGCTGATGAGCGGAAAAACGGACGCGAAGATGAAGAAGAACGCTAGCAGTTTGCCAAATGAGGCCGCCGCGAACCGCCTTGCACGAATCAGGCACGACTGACTCGGGTCGCCGCCAAGAGCCTCCGTGTTTTAGTAGCGCCGGATAGCTGTCGACAGTCTACAACGCCTTGTGCTGCTTGATGGCTCGACAAGCGAAGTCTTGCTCATACACTGAATGACTAAAGAAGGAGAAAAGATTCAACAGTAAATGTATACAAATGTTGCACAAGACGCATCCATGGACATGCAGCCGACGTGCCGGACGACTGAATGTACATGAAGCATGAGCACGGTGGCATGCTTCAGATGGATCCAGAGTGGCCCAAGCATAACGATCGGATAGTATCCGCCTTGTGCACGGATGTCATATTCGGCACCTAGTTACCGTGAGGAAACATTTGACAAGCAGGGATGTTGGCCGAGTTGCGATGACCGACGTGGCAATTGGCGTCAGGGACGTGGCGGTGGTACGGCCGTTGTCTCTGCACAAGACCTGTCCGCGCAATGATGATGATGACGACTTTCTTCATTCGCTGTTGACTGCCATTGGAAACAAATGATGAGACAATAGCTCGAGATCCCCCACAATGCAAAAGATAGTTGCGCCACCAAAGCTCTTGCGCTAGCTGGGATAACTAGTGGCTCGACCGCCTACGAGCCCGTTGATTTAGGCTTTGAAGATGCTTCCCATTGTGGCTTGTGCCTCTTCCCAGTCGCTGATCAGCTGTAACGTGCCAACCTGCCACTTCCATATTACCAGCTGCCCAGCAAGGCCTAGTAGGTCGACGGCATCATTTCCCCTCTGGTTCCTGTCGTCTGCCGTCTTCGATCCTGCGTGCTGCAACCTCGTCTCATCCCCCAACCTTGTCTGCATCGCCTCGTCGCGGGGGGCGCTCAGGCCGCCTTGTCACCTGCACCTCGGATAAAATTCTCACTACAACTTCCTCGCTCCCTCTCTCTCTCTCCTTTTCACTACACCCTTCACTCGCCCTCCCTTGTCCTCACCTCCAACGACTGCAGCTACCGTTTGTTGATATGCCCGCCGAGCCGCATGTCGGCTCCCGACGTCTCCATGGCCGCCGCTACCGACAGCGGCCCTGACCACGATGCCGACAGCCAGTCGCCCACAGGCGGCGGCTCACCACCCTCGGAGCACGCCCGCCCGCGCAAACGCACCCGCCGCGCGTGCGACAAGTGCAGCACCTCGCGCACCCGCTGCAATGGCGAGTAGTAAGTTTGTTTTCTTTCGAGGGGGGGGAGAGCTCACCCGTTGTAGCAACGCTGCTAACATTCTCGCTAGCCCCTGTCGACGTTGCAAAGGTAAGACAGAACCACCCGCTGCCGTGGAACCGTTTGTGCGCCCGTTTGCGGCAAAGCAAGACGGGCTTTCTGCCATTCCGCCCAATGGGGGACTGACAAGCTCCCAGATTACGGATACGTTTGTCGCTACAACCGCGAGGTCAAGAAGCGCGGCCGCCTGCCCGCTTCGGCCAGTGCCAATGCCGCCGCCCACACCAAGCCGCGTGAGCTAACGACGACGACGACGCAAGCTGCACCCGGTTTGCAGTCATCGCCCTCGCTTCTCTCGCCGCCTCATGCGGCGGCAAGCCACCCGACCCCGACCTACAAGCCGAAGTTGGAACCCCCGAAAGCGCAGATGAGCTCGCCCCGCCCTAGTGTGCCACCGCCGTACGAGCTCCCGCCGTCCACCAACGACGTCCGCGCCCAGCAGCGCATCTCGGCCGCGCTCAATGTTTCGTCCCTCGTGCACCAGATCCCACCCACCGCGCATCATTACTCGCACAGCGCGGCCGCCGATGGACATCTCAAGAGGCCGCGACCGCACTTGGTGTCGCTAATGGCGGCCGAGAGCCCCGAGGCGCTCGCGTCGGACGAGAGCGCCGGCTACCCGTCACCCGCCAATGGCCTGACACCCAACGAGTACGGCACCACACACCAGAGATACCCGCCCCGGCCTTCGACGAGCAGCCACCGCCATCGAGAGTCGTTTGGTGGTGCGAGTGTCGCCGAGACGAGCAGCCACGACTATGGCACCAAGGCCCCGACCGAGGACTGCAGCTACAAGTTCCTGCATCCTGTCCTCCGATATATTCGCAACATCATACCAGCCTCGGTCGCATGCGACTTGCTCGAAATCTTTCTCACTGACCCTGGCAGCTCGCTCTTTCACGGCGCCTCTCCGTACATTCTCACTCGAATATTCCGCAAACAGTCTATTCTCCATCCCACACACCCGCGACCGACGACGCCGGCCCTCCTCGCCACGATCCTATGGTGCGTCGCCCAGACGGCCGACGTCATGATCCTCCACGTGCCGGGCACCAGAGCCAAGATTGTCAATGAACTGTACGAGCTTGCCACCTCGTTGGTCTCTGCGCGCGACCCAGATCGATGGCGTCGCATCCACGGCGGCCTGCGCGCCGAGCACGAAGCACCCCACCCCAGCTTGGTGACAACGAGCGCCGTGCCGACGCTGACGGTGGCCAATGAACCTGCGGGCGTTGTCGACGACGTCTTGACCTACATCCTGCTCTCCATTGCTGTTTCGGGGGGGGACTTTAAATCGGACAGCCACAAGTGGTGGTCCAAGGCTACGCGGCTGACCTTTTCGCTCAAGATGAACAGAGAGGACGAACGGTGCCCCGGACCGCTTTCGCCCTGCGCGAATCCATTGTGCGCATGTCGGCGTGAGCAGGAGCCGATGACTCTACAGTCTGTTGAGAATAGAGAGGAGCGTCGGCGCGTCTTTTGGCTTCTGTATAGTTTAGACAGACACTTGTCCTTGTCGTTCAACACCATTCTTAGTATACCAGACTCATACTGCGAGGTCTACAGTAAGCGTCACGTCGTTTTCTATTCCTCTATTTGCTAACAAGTCAAAGCACCCTTACCAGAGTATGTCTGGGAAAACCTCGACTCCATCTCTCCCAGCGAGTTACCTGTCCGGCACATCGGGCCGCCTACACTGGCCTCTGGTACCGGCTTTTTCGAGTTCTTTCTGCCGCTCATGGCCATCCTCGGTGACATTGTCGAGCTTCACCACCGACGTCACCACCCTCGCCTCGGTGGTCTAGACGATGCGCACTCCGTCGTCGTCATTTCCAAACTCCTGGCCGATTTCGAGCTGAGCCTGGAGAGTCTCGGCGGTGAGGCTCCCGTACGAGGCTTCACAGACACGGCCGTGGGCATAAGCGGCGGCCTGCCTCCCATGGACACGGCGCAGCAGTACCACGGCGACCAATCCCGCGTTCGCCTCGTCCGGGCGTACAGCACGCATATACTGCATGTGCTGCACGTGCTACTACATGGAAAATGGGACGCCATTTCCATGCTGGACGACGGCGACGACTGGATCACCTCGAAGCGCTTCACCGAATGTGCGTCGCACGCCATTTCCGCCTCGCAGTCCGTGTCGACGATTCTCACGCTGGACCCGGAACTGACCTTTATGTCGTATCTCTTTGGCATTTACCTGCTGCAGGGCAGTTTCATCCTGCTACTGTTTGCGGACCGTATGCCGCAGGTCGGGCCGAACGAGTCGGTGGAGCAGGCCTGTGAAGACATTATCCGCGCGCACGAAGTATGCGTCGTCACGCTCAACACGGAGTTTCAGGTAAAATCGTTGTACGTGCCGTTGGGGGTCACGAGTGCTGACGCGGGGATAGAAAAACTTTCGACGCGTTGTCCGCTCGACTCTGTATTCGGTGCGAGGCGCGGGCACGACGAATCTGGAGGAGCATCGGGCGCGGCGCAGAGCATTGTCGCTGTACAGGTGGACAAAGGGGGCTCGCGGCCTGGGCCTGTAAATAATGATACCCATTTAAAGATGCATCCAATTACATATATTCAGATGCTACCTCGGAGCTCTCGGAGCTCATCTCACTATTCTTCGATGCCCCCCGCGGCGCCTACTGCTTGGCCGCGATGATGACGGCATCTTCAAACTTGGTAAACCGGCGAATGTCCTTGACGACCAACCCCGCACGGGGCAGCAGCGCCCGCCAGTGCGCCTCGCGGCGCTCCTGGGCGTTGAACATGGCCTCCATGGCGATGCTCAGCGCGGCCGTGTACTCGACGCCAGGACCGTCTTGCGGGGGCTTATCGTCGGACAGGCACTTGTCGTCGATGATGACGATGCTGTCAGCGCTCATGGCGAGCCGCTGCGACGCTAGGATGCGGACGCAGGTGACGTCGTCATTATTGTGCATGATTTGGCGAAAGTAGTAGACGCGGGCGTCTGTCTGCCAGTCAGGTTCTACCGCGGGAGGGGGGGTGCAAAATGGCCAAGTGTAGGATGAGTTTTGGCAGGAAAAGAAAACACGAAAAAAAAAAACATACCCTTGATAGGCTGCTCCGTCAGGTAATCATAACTCATCTTCTCCATACCCTCGATCTCGAGCGCCCTGTCCAGCACCTCGGGCCGGTCCTGCAAGACGACCCTCCCTTGAAGGTCCGGGATCCTCGCCTTGAGCGCCGCAATCTGCTGGCCGTTGCCGCCGCCGACGTCGACAAACGCGACCTGGTCGGGCTCGCCGGGGCGCATAACGGCGGCGACATCCACGGCGTCGAGCCACGTCGGCAGGCTGGCAAACTGCGCCTCCATGAAGCGGTGAAAGGCGCCGTGCTGCACAGGCCGCGTCTCGAGCCATGTGTAAAAGTCTTGCGACGAGTGCTGGCCGACCTGGAAGGCGTTGAGGCGCTCTCCCCCGGCGGGCGCCGAGAGCACGGTGTCGAGGGCAGCAAAGGCGGGGAGACAGTTGTCGTGGCTTGCATCAATCAGTCATGCCGTGTTAGGGTCGCGGGAGGAAAAACGTACAAGTGCGTCACGGCGTCTTGGAAGAGCGGCGCCAGCATCAGCCGCGTCAGCCCGGTCGCGCGCGCCGCCTCCCCCGGCTCGCTCAGAAGCAGGCCCTGCGCGCCGAGATAGTCCACGACGGACGCGAGCACGGCCGGCGGCAGGCCGGTCGCGGCGCCGAGC